CTGTCCTCTCAGGACGTCACCTTCGACGAGTCGGTCTGTTACTACCCCCGCACGCGTCCCACCCGGTCCCCCTCGCACCTCTCTTCCTGGTACCAGTCCCCCCCCCCCGGTAGACCCCCTTCCCCCACAGGGTCCTGCTCCCTCAGGTGTGTCCCAGGTAGACCCACCCCCCTTGGATGAGCCAGTTGAGATCTCTTCTGACTCCTCTGACTCACCTGAGGGGGGTGACGCCGTTGCTGACGACACGGCGACCACTCGCCGCACTCCTCGCTTGGAGACCCCCCCGGGTTTCCCGCCACGGTCGTCTTCGCCGCCTCCGCAGCCTGCTGCTGTGGACTCTGGAGCTGAGACTACTGGAGCTCGGCCCGGGGGTGGTGAGTCTGGGGGTGCCCGCTCTCCTCATCTGGCTACCCCCCCCGGGTTCCCACCTCTGTTGTCTTCGCCGCCTCTGCAGCCTGCTGCTGTGGACACTGGAGCAGAGACTGAGGGTACTGAGCCTGGGGGTGCTGGGACTGAGGGTGCTGGGACTGAGGGTACTGAGCCTGAGGGTGCTGAGACTGAGGGTGCTGGGACTGAGGGTACTGAGCCTGAGGGTGCTGGGACTAAGGGCACTGAGCCTGAGGGTGCTGGGACTGAGGGTGCTGAGACCGAGGGTCCTGACTCTAGGGGTGCTGCGAGTTCGGGTGCTGACTCTGGGGGTGCTGCGAGTCCTTGTGGTGTTGGTGTCGTCGGAGCTCCTGCCGGAGGACCTGGAGCTACTGGTGCTGGAGGTACTGGAGGTGCTGCTGGTGCTGGAGGTCGTGGAGCTACTGGTGCTGGAGGTACCAGAGGTGCTGGAGGCGCTAGAGCTGGTGGTGCTGGAGGTGCTAGAGGACGTGGAGCTGCTGGTGCTGGAGGTACTGGAGGTGCTGGAGCTGCTGGGGCTGGAGGTGCTGGAGCTGCTGGGGCTGGAGGTGCTGGAGGTACTGGAGGTGCTGGAGCTGCTGGGGCTGGAGGTGCTGGAGGTGCTGGAGGTCCTGGTGGAGCTACTGGTGCTCTTCGCCACCTTCTCAGTCTTCAGCCAGGTGCTACTGGCTTCCCTGTGGCAGGTACTACTCCTCCGTTACTGTGTCCACCGGCGGACCAGTCACAGCCGCCGCTGCTACCGCACTCCCCACTGCCTGCTCCTGCTCCTTACACTGCGGTGTCACAGTCCCGGACTGAGCGTCGAGAGCCCGAGACTCGTGCTTCCACCCCCGAGCGTCGAGAGCCTGAGTTTAGCTTTGACCTTGAGTCTGAGCCTAGAGCTGCTGTCCGTGCTCGTGTTCCTCGTGTTCGTCGTCCGCGTGCTCCGGCTGTCCCCGGCACTCACGATATGACACTCCGTCCTTCCTCTGTTCCTCAGCGTGTTGTCCTACCGTTACCTCCTGCGTCCTCTCTGCCTGACGTTGCTGACCCTCTGTCTGACCTTGCTCGTGCGTCCAGTCCGACTGTTACTCGCCTTCTTGCTACGGTTGTGACGGACCCTACGTTCTCGTCTCCTGCTGCGTCTGCCCTACTAGCTAAGCTTGTTGACTTTGCAGCTGTGTACCGCCTAGACTACCTTGCAAGTCTTGTTTCTGACCCTGTCCCTGCCTGTCCTCCGTCCGTCGGGGGTGAGACTGCTCTTGGCTGTACTGCCCTTGGCTGTGAAGTTCTTGAGGACAGATAGGAGGAGCTGGAGTGCCTTGCTGCCGCTTCACCCCATCACGCGACCATGCTGCTTGCCCCTGAGGGAGACCCGGATGCACTTGACATCCCCACCCCGCGCTCCTACAGGGAGGCGATTTTAGGCGAGTACTCCTCTCAGTGGCAGACAGCCATGGACGCAGAGATGGCTTCCTGGAAGTCCACAGGCACCTACGTCGACGAGGTTCCCCCACCTAGGGCAAACATCGTCAGTGGCATGTGGATTTTCAGGGTGAAGCGGCCGCCGGGTTCTCCGCCTGCCTTCAAGGCACGTTACGTTGCTCGAGGCTTCAGTCAGCGTGAGGGGGTCGACTTCTTTCAGACCTTCTCCCCCACCCCGAAGATGACCACTCTTCGGGTGTTGCTACACGTTGCAGCTCAGCGTGACTACGAGCTGCACTCCCTCGACTTCTCGACAGCTTTCTTGCAGGGTAGCCTTCACGAGGCCATCTGGTTGCGCCGTCCACAGGGCTTCACTGGGTCGTTTCCTGAGGGTACCCAGTGGAGCCTACGGCGACCAGTGTACGGCCTGCGTCAGGCGCCCCGTGAGTGGCACGACACACTGAGGACGACACTTGCGGCTCTTGGTTTTGCTCCTTCGACTGCTGACCCGTCGCTGTTTCTACGCACCGACACTTCTCTGCCGCCGTTCTACATCCTCGTGTACGTTGACGACTTGGTTTTTGCTACTGCTGACACTGAGGCACTGGCCCTAGTGAAGGCGGAGCTGCAGGAGAGACACACCTGCACTGACCTGGGTGAGCTGCGGAGCTATCTTGGCTTGCAGATCACCCGGGACAGACCACGGCGCACCATCACCCTGACTCAGTCACACATGGTGCACCAGGTCCTTCAGCGCTTCCGCTTCACGTGGTCCTCGCCACAGCCCACTCCTCTGTCTACCGGCCACTCGCTCTCAGCTCCACCTTCGAACGAGTCCGTAGAGCCGAGTGGTCCGTACCCAGAGCTTGTGGGTTGCCTCATGTACCTGATGACGTGCACACGACCTGACCTCGCGTACCCTCTCAGCCTCCTGGCTCGCTACGTGGCACCTGGTCGACACCGAAAGGTGCACTTTGATGCTGCGAAGAGGGTACTGCGTTACTTGTGCAGCACATCGGGCATGGGGCTCGTGCTTGGAGGACGGGGTTCGGTGGTCCTCACAGGACACTCTGACGCTTCTTGGGCCGACGACCAGACGACTCAGCGTTCGTCACAGGGTTACACCTTCAGTCTTGGCTGGTTCTGTCTCGTGGAGGTCCACTCGTTCTTCTTCTGTGCTTGGTTCCAGCTGTGAGGCCGAGATCTACGCTGGGGTCATTGCTGCACAGGAGCTACGCTGGCTGACCTACCTGCTGACCGACTTGGGGGAGCGGCCTCGTTCTCCTCCAGTTCTGTACGTCGACAACAAGGCAATGCTTGCCTTGTGTCGCGAGCAGAGACTGGAGCACCGAACGAAGCACATTGCTTTTCGCTACTTTCTTGCGCGTGAGCTGCAGCAGCGTGGTCAGCTGTGCCTTGCTTACGTGGCCTCTCGGGCCAACACTGCTGATGTCTTCACCAAGGCCCTTGGGTCTGGTGATCATCAGCGCTTCTGCACTGCTCTTGGGCTTGTGCCCACTCTGCCTCACCTGCTGGTTGCTTGACTTGCTCTTGTTGTACACTGCTATATATCTTTATACCTGCATGTTTACGCTTGCTAGGTTGTGATCAGTGTACTGCCTTGCTATTATAAATTTGCATGTGAACTGGCCTTGTGGCCGCCTGCTTGTGCTCAGATTGTGTGGTGTCCTTGAGATCCACCCTGGGCTTTGCCTTGCTTGTTCTCTTGCTTGACTGGTCTTGTGACCACGGTTAGGTTTGACATGGTATCAGAGCTACTACGGTCTTAGGACCTACTATTTCTCTTAAGATAATGGACCCGCCTATGCTAAAGCACGAAATGCGCCATTTCTTTTCCGTCCACCCGTCCGCCCGTCTGCCCTGCCCGTCCGCACGTTCGTTTCCCCTCGTTCCCGTCGCCACGGCGCCCGGTTCCTGTCGCCGCGGCGCCCCCTATTCTCGTCGCCGCGGCGACCGTTTCTCGTCGCCGCGGCGCCCATCTCTTCTCGTCGCCGCGGACGACAGAGCCAGCGCGGACGCCGGCGACGAGCGCCAGCTCCAGCGCCGGACGCCAACGCTGGCCTCCAACGTCAGCGCGGACGCCAGCGGCCAGCGCCAGCGCCAGACGCCGCCGCCAGCGCCAGCGCCCGACACCAACGCCAGCGCCAGCAGCCCACGCCAGCGCCGGCAGCTGCTGATGCCCCCCCCCCCCCCCCCCCCCCCTCCCCCCCCTCCCCCCCCCCCCTTCCCTCTTCCTCCTCCCTGCAGCAACTTGTTGCTGTGGGGGGGGGGGAGGGAGGAGAAACGTTAAGGGGGGAAGGAGAAATGTTAAAGGGGGGATGAGAGATGTTGTTAAGGGGGTGGACGAAAGAGAGAGAGAGAGAGAGAATGGGTTTCCATTCTGTTTTCTTCTTTCGTAATGTTTTCTCTTCGTTTCGTGATTCGTTCCTTTCTCCGTCGTTTCTGGGCGTGGTCACCCAGAGTCGCGCACACCAGGCATCCACTGCGGGGGTTAAACCGCAGGCGGGCTTTCCATCGTGTGTTGTATCGGTGGGCCCAGCTGCTGCCCGGTGAAGTCTGCACTTAGGGTAGAGCGCCCCTCACTGGCTATGCTTGTATGCAGTTAAGGGGGGGTGTCAGAAATTGTATTTCTATATATAACTGCATATTAGCCTAGTTAGTGTAGTATCTCTCCATTGTTGGTGGTATACTCCCCTTGCCCACCTTCCCTTGCCCTATATCTTGTATCTCTCTCTATAGTCAAAGCCCTCTTTTGGCCAATTCCCTCCCGCTCGTGCCTCTCGTAACTCTCGTTATAGCTAAACCTAATCTCCTAAGTTCTTAGCTATGTTTGACAGTTGAAACAGCATGTCGCAATTTGTGCGTGGGTCTCACGACCCAAATCCCCCGTCGCAAAGCCAGCTTTGGTGCAAAAATGTGCTCGCACATTGCACGTCCAATGTCACCCAGGCCGTTAAAATTCCCGGCAACATCACTCCTTGGATTGGTCGAAACCACACCACGCTAAACTACACACCAGTGTCTCCAAACTTCAACACACACACAAGCAGAAAGACAAGCACCACCCACTCCAGATCTAGATCTACTCTCTCAATAATGTATACCACCACATAACCCCGCTCTACTCGACGACCTCTAGCCTAGAGGACGGATACCACGCCTAGCGCACCATGCCTCCTCACAAGGTGAAAGACCGCGGTAAGGGTAAGGCTAAGGCGAACGACGACGAGCCATGGGAGGATCCACCGTACGTGAAGTGGATGAAGGAGCAGTGCGAAAAGGGGAATACGCGCGGCAACATAAAGCGAGAAGCATCACCTAGGCGCGACGGTGCCGGGCCGAGCTCCGCACGTGGCGCACATGCCGACAGCTCCGAAGGCGGCGGAGACACCGACGTGAGCTCCGAGGACCTAGAGGAGATCGCCTCCTCCAATGGATCCGACGAGGATTCTGATAACTCCAACGTGGACGGCGGCAGTGACGAGGAGGAGACCGGCCTTGAGCCCGCAGCATCGGAGGCTGGACCCAGTACGCGCAAGCGCAAGCGGACCGCCAAATCGAAACGCCTATGGACCGAAGAGGAGTTGACTGCTCTCGCAGCGGCTAAGTGGTACACCCGTGACGATCTAAAGCAGATGCGTGGGAAGCAAGGCAACCAGTACTGGAAGAAGCTCCACGCGCACATGAAGAAAAGTGGCATTAAGTGGACTCGGAACAGCACGGCCATGCTACACGCGTGGAAGCGCATTGAAGCCGAGTATCGCGAGACGCTCCGCCACAACGGCACCTCAGGGAACAAGCCAAAGAAGAAGAAGCCTTGGTTCGAATACTTTTACCTCATCAAGAAACTCCCGGCCAACGTTAAGCCCCACGTTGTGGATGGAGGGGGAGCAGGGGAGACACACGCCGACCCGGGAGCGCCAATCCCTAATGACGCAGACATGGGAGAGGCCGGAATGGTCACGCCCAGGACCAGGCCTCGCGATCGGCATACGCGTCAGTCAGGTGGTGTTGAAGGTGAGTATTGATAGTGTGATGGTTTTCATTGTCGGCTTCAGCTTCGTAGTCCCTTTTCGTTTCTAGTTTATGCCTTTTATTTTCATGTTGTTTTAACAATCTGGAAATTAGCATGATAATCACTCCGCAACTGACATTTCATACACACAAATTCCCATATCCCTCTACGCCCATTGCAGCCACCCCTTCTCCCATCCCTCCAAAGCGATCTCGTGTCAACGAGACCGCCACCATGGCGGCCGCAAAAGTGATCGCGGACACCATCACGACATGCAATGGACAGGCCCTGCGCCAGCTAAGTGACACGGTGGGCCTCCTCATCACCGCGATTCACATGGCGTCCGCATTGTGGAGGCCCCCACTTGCACAAGCCCAGAACGTGCCGCCCCCGCCGCAAGGCCCGACGCACGCCATCACGGATACGCCGGGCAACGACGCCCTCCCCGCCTTCGGTGAGGAGCCAACCCATGACACTCTGGACGAGGACGAGGAGGCGCACGATGACATGCAGTCCCGCTAGTCACGGTCGAGGCGCCACGGGCGGTGCCTCCTGAGGTAAGCACGATGCATGTGCTTCCCGTAGTGCTTCCTCCGCTTGCGAGGATCGGCCTGTGAGGCACTTGCCGTATCACGCCATTCGTAGGCCCGCATGCCACTCCTGTGATACCAGGGGCGACCGGCACCCATCTACACCCTCCACTGAGGCACATTGGGGTCGTTCCTTGGCTCGTCGTGGTGCAGGATCATGTTGTGCAGGATGATGATGCAGGCGGTGCCTGCACACACGCGCGACAACTGGCTCTCATGACGCCGATCGAAGAGACGCCACCGACCCTTCAGGGCGCCGATGGTCCGTTCTACCACCATGCGGGTGGCGGAGTGGACGTAGTTATAGGTCTGCTCCCAGCTTTTCGTTGGGCGTCTGCGGGTGGCGTTCACGGGCGTCAGGCAGTAGGGACGAAGCGGGTACGCAGCATCACCGATAATCTGGTACGGTCCAATGTCCCCACGCTCAAGGTGGGTGTGCAAGTCAGACTGCTGGAATATGCCTTGATCATGCATGGAGCCCGGGTGCCCAACTATGTAGTCCCAAATGAATCCCTTGCTGTCGCATGTAACTTGCAACTGTGTTGAATACACTGACTTGCGATTGTAATACTCTTGCCTGTGATTCTCCATCCCCCTTATCTCGATGTGGGTGCCATCAATGGCACTTATGACATTAGGCACCCCACGCACTGCACGAAAGTCAGTTGCCATTTCTTCCATCTCTTATGTAGTGGGAAAGCGAACGCATGTCTTTTTGAACCGTCGGGGGAATTGGAGCAGGAAGACATCGACAATCCGATGTACGATTGTTTTTGGCAGGCCGAAGAAGAGTCCCAAGTCGATGTATGTCAAGGCGGAGGCGAAATACTTGATCGGGATTAGTACGCAGAGCTTGAGCGGAATCCCAAGCTTGTCCACAAAGTGGCTCATGGAAGGCGCATGGCCGGGGTGATGAACTCCAGCACCTCGGGCGAAATACGGAAGACATTGACGAAGTCATCGTCCTCCATCATGCGCAACTCCACCTCCCATTCCGCCATGCGCCGTTCGGGGCGCTCCTTCCGCGCACGCTGCTGGCGCTCGCGCTTCCTCCGCAACTCTGCCTGAGCCTCATCGTCTCCGCTCTGCGCAGCTCCCTGCATTGCAATCCACTGCACACCTGCACTAGCAACTATACAGTTAGAAGTTTTCAACATAGAAACCGTATAGTATATGTATTGCTATGCAGAGCAAGAGTCCCGCCCTTGCAGGCATGTCTGGCGGAAAGTGAAGGTCGTAAAGAACCCCTGAAAGTCAGTGCTTTTATAGGAAACATTAGCGCTGCTTGACAGGCAAGCGCGGCCTGCCAGCGGTTCGGACACCACGCTATAAAATGGACGTGCAGTGGCTAGTGCATATGCATGCAAATTTGCAGGTACCGCAACTCAACAACTAGCTGCAAAGTTGCAGACCTGCCAAATTGCAGCCCCCGTTTGAGCGGCTAGTTTACCTGTTGACCAGCCGTGGTTGTGCAAAGCGAGTGGAGGGGTTTCCGGCCCCGAGAGTACACTGGTGTCGGGGGACCACCTGATTGGTGGGGGCATTTCTTGTGCGACGGTCGCACAATGTGTTTTGCTTGCCACGAATTGCAAGCTGCGCACGACTCGGGACAATTGTTGATGGCATGCGGGTTTCCCGCATGCCACCAACAGTGACTGCTACAGTGGCCCTGCCACCACCTAGGGACACGCCCTAATACCACCCTCTGAAATATTGGAAGCAGCGGAATTACTCCACCCCTGTCATAGCGCTGCTTATGCTACCCACACCGCACAACACCGTTCCCATTGTCCCAATATGGAAGGCCTGGGCCCTCAGGAAGGGAAACGTTCATGGTTTGGTCAGTGTTCGGCGGTATCAGGAGGCGTCCCCTCTACGCCGCCGACCCTGCGAACGATCTTTCAAAATCGATTCTCAACCGCACTAAAAGCCTTTTGCTTTATACTCTAACCCTTTCAAACCTTCTTTAACCACGCGCAGAATCGCAGGAGGGGAGGGGACGGGTCCTCAGCTGAACCTCCCAACGAGATCGGGACCTTTCCCACCAATCACTTGTTTTTTTTCCGAATACGGTCTATTCATCCTGTTCGAACTTCGAACGCGTTTTTCCAACAAGCAGCAGTCAAACACAAATCTACCACCATTCCAGTTTCTGCCTACACTATCCAGTGTAGTCGCACACTACTCGTCGCCAGTATATTGCAACTGCTGGTTCCCGAGATTTCTCGCCTGTATTATCCTTTTGCCGAAACTGATTGGAGCCTCAATTTGAGGCCCTGTTCTGTTGCCGCACCACTTGGTGCGGACCCCTCCGTACAGCACCAAATTGATGCTTCTTCTGGGCTTCGACCGGAGATCCTAGGAGCTTCATTTACGGGGGCGTATTCCTTGATACCAGGCTCGGGAAACTGAACCTCTTCCCGGACCTAACGAGTGCAGTGCAGTCCGTCCGCCCAAAAGAACGGTGAACCAGTGCAGCAAAAGTGATCCCCCGCTCCCAGGCAAAATGGGTGCGGGGCTGGTGCGGCCCTGGTTCCCTCTCAGAGGGGGGATCAAGGGTCCGCACCAAGTGGTTCAGGGCAGGGGTAAATGTTTTTCTTTGTCCTGGTTGGTCCGTTTGCTTTCAGGCCATCCCACCATCCAATAGTTGGTGGCGAGAGGAAGATTGACGGTCTGCGATCGAAAAAAAAACCTTAGCCGTGAAAATACGCGGAGGGGGGCAGGAAGATAGCGTGAGCCTTCAAAATTTTGATGCGCCCCGAGCCTCCTGTCGCACAGCTGATGCGGTGCAGTGCTGTCCGCCCACCATTTTGCCGATGGGCAACAGAACAGGGCCTGAGAAGGCCTTGCTGGAGCCTCTGCGTTTTGTCTTTGGTTCGCGAATGCTCTCCCATTTCGTCAATATCAAGCGACCCTGTCGCTCGTACCGCGTTCCTAAATTCAGATTGGCTCGTCCCCGCGACTCACACGCAAGTCAAGCACATACCGCGTTCCTAACACTCCAAATAAATCCGTTTCCAGCGACTCACTCAAGCCAAGCACGCATTGCGTTCGTAGGAATCGCCATGTCGCGGCAGCTATTACTACGCTTGGCTCATGGTCGTAACTCGCAACATAGTTTACAGCACAAACCGAAGCAACTCGCTTGGTTCACGGTCGTAACTCGCAACATAGTTTACAGCACATACCGAAGGAAGCCTGGAATTCTCCTTCCGGTTCTGTCCTTAGATTGGGCTATCCGTCACCTTACGTACACTCCGCACTCTACATCGTACCATCTACACCGTACCATCACACTCTACACCGTACCATTACACTCTACACCGTGCCATCACACTCCTTCATTCTCCGCCGTGATCCTCACGTCATAGCACAAGCGCTCGGCTGTTGAGCCTCTTCCGCCGCCTCTTCCGCCGCTTTTTCCGCCACCTCTTCCGCCGCCCCTCCCGTGGGACCTTCCCTGTCATCATCATGGGGTCGATGCGCGCCTCTCCTGCCGGACTCCTGCTGCTCGCCCTTGCCCTCATCGCCGGTCAGTCTGCTGCTCTCTCATTGCCTTCTCTCTCATTTCTCCAATGCATGCGCGTGTGTGTTTTGAGTCGACTCAAAGCTCTCTTGCCGGACTCCTGCCAGGAGCAGCAGTGCTGCTCGCCCTTGCCCTCATCGCCGGTCAGTCTGCTGCACTCTCATTGCCTTATCTCACTGCTGCGAGATCTCAGATCAGAAGTCAAAGCCTCTGACTGCTGCCAGCCCCTTGCCTTGATGGACTCTTGCCCTTGCCTTTGACTGCCGCTGGCCCGTGCCTTCATTCGCAATTTCCTTCCTTCCTGCTGCCGGATCCTCCTTTTGCCTCCTTTTCACTTTCGTCTCTATTCTCTCTTCTCCCCCTCTTTGCCCTCTCATCTTGGCTCTCTCTCCTCTTCTCGGCACATCTTCCTGTGGTTGCCTCCTGCTGCTCTCCCTTGTCCTCTGCAGCAGTTCAGATGATGAAGACAGCGCATAGGGAAGACACGGTGGCGGAAAAAGCTAGCAGCAAGGTCAATGCGAGGATTCGCAAGAGACCACCCCCTTTTTGGTCTCTCATACCGGCTCTCTCTCTCGTCTCTACACACCCACTCCCTTGTCCGCTGCAGCAGTCTATTTTGACATACGCAGTGTATGGAGACAATACGATGGCGGAATCAGCACGGTTGCTCTCTCATATCGCCTCTCGCTTCTCTCCTCTGCACGCCCTCTCCCTTGTCCGCTGCTGCAGTGTATTCGACAAAGACAGCGTATGGAGACAGCACGGTTGCGGAAACAGCCAGCAGGAAGGTCAATGTGAGGATTGCGCAAGAAACCAGTGGCGTTACCACAACGGTGATGCTGGGTGCGGCGCGGTTGAGCTTCAGCAAGCAGCGCTGCATGAGCATTGGCAAGAAGGCGAGGCGGAAGAGCGTGAAAGTGTGGTGGAACGACCGTGGGGGCTCGAGCAGCGTGGGTTCGGGTGGCGAGGCGACAGGTGTCGCGTGCTCACAGGTCAAGTTTTTTGGGAAACGCGGCTGCCAGGGCAAGGCGGTGGATGGCATGGTCAACCCCGGCACAACTGACACCATGTGAGTGTTGGGTGGTGTGTGGTGAGTGGTGTGTGAGTGTTGTGAGTGGTGTGAGTGGTGGGTGGTGAGTGTGATGATGTGATTGTTGGGTGATGTTTGGGCAACGCGGCTGCCAGGGCAAGGCGGTGGATGGCATGGTCAACCCCGGCACAACTGACGCCATGTGAGTGTTGGGTGGTGTGTGGTGAGTGGTGTGTGAGTGTTGTGAGTGGTGTGAGTGGTGGGTGGTGAGTGTGATGATGTGATTCTTGGGTGATGTTTGGGCAACGCGGCTGCCAGGGCAAGGCGGTGGATGGCATGGTCAACCCCGGCACGACTGAGGCCATGTGAGTGGTGGGTGGTGTGTGAGAGGTGTGAGTAGTGGGTGGTGTGTGTCAGCGGTGGTGTGGAGTGGTGGGTGGTGTGTGTCAGCGGTGGTGTGGAGTGGTGGGTGGTGTGTGTCAGCGGTGGTGTGTGTCAGCGGTGGTGTGGAGTGGTGGGTGGTGTGTGTCAGCGGTGGTGTGGAGTGGTGGGTGGTGTGTGTCAGCGGTGGTGTGGAGTGGTGGGTGGTGTGTGTCAGCGGTGGTGTGGAGTGGTGGGTGGTGTGTGTCAGCGGTGGTGTGGAGTGGTGGGTGGTGTGTGTCAGCGGTGGTGTGTGCCAGCGGTGCCATGTCATTTGAGAGTTGGAATGTGTGTGGGTGTGAGTTTGAGTGGTGTGGCCGTGTGTCAGGGAGGCACGGTGAGACAACACGAGCATCGCATCGCATGACTTGGGGAGGAGTGGGGAGGGGTGGAGATGGGGAGGCAAGGGAGCAGAGTGGATAAAAAGAACAGTTCTTGAGCATTTTCTAAACTTGCCACGCCCTTCAGGTTCCCCAGCAGTGAGAAGAAGCTTCGCAAGGGGGCTTCAGTGGCTTCTGTCCTGTGCGATGTTCCCGAACAGCAGCAGGAGGAGGAAGAGACTCCGCCAGAGGTTATCAGAGGTACGTTCATCAGAGGGTGTGATTTCGAAGGTTGTGATTTCGAAGGGTGTGATGAGAAGGGTGTGATGAGAAGGTTGTGATTTCGAAGGTTGTGATGAGAAGGGTGTGATGAGAAGGGTGTGATGAGAAGGGTGTGATGAGAAGGGTGTGATGAGAAGGTTGTGATTTCGAAGGTTGTGATTTCGAAGGGTGTGATTCCGAAGGTTGTGATTCCGAAGAATGTGATTAGAAGTGTGTGTGTGTGCTTGATTTCGAGCGATGCCTCTCTCTGTGGCAAGCGAAACCTTGGCAATTGTTGATGTTACTTTTGAGAATTCTCAAAACTAACATCATTTTCTGAAAGGTGTGTGTGACGCTGTCATTGCTTGATTTCGAGTGGTGCCTCTCTCTGTGTCAAGCGAAACCTTGGCAATCGGCCGAATGGCGTTCTACAATCCTCACTTTGCTTGTCGCCCCGTTGTGTTCGCCTCTGCTACAGACCCTGCGTGTGACGCGTTGAGCTGTGGGCCTGGTGGCAAATGTGAGGTGGATGGAAACGGAGAGTGCTACTGCAAGTGGGGTGAGTGAGGTCCTCCCTCCCTGGCTTCAGGCTTTCACACAGTCAACTTTTTTTTGTTCTCTGCTCCGATGCTGCCTGTGACGCGTTGAAGTGCCACGCTTGTCTTTCTGCCTGCCTGCTTCTCCGTTGCATTCTGCCTTCCTCAGACTCACCCTCACCCTGTGGCGCCTGCCCCTCTGAATCTTCCGACCCCCACTAGCAATTGCACTCACACACCGCACTGCACCCATCTCTACCCGCCCCTTCAGAGTCGCCCTGTACAACAGTGCGGTGTAGGTGCGTTACTGTCCCCACTACCATTGCACTGACATACCGCACTACACCCATCTCCATCCCGTTTTTCAGACTCACCCTGTGGCATCTGCCCCACTGGAGCCACCTGCAAGACCGTGCCTGCCAAGTACTACCCGTCGGTGCAGGTGCCTTACTGCGCGTGCCCTCAAGGCTCTGGAATAACCGAGACCAAGTGTGTTGCGGGTGAGTCTCCACTCTCTCCTCACTCGCCTTACTGCGGGTGCCCTCAAGGCTCTGGAATAACCGAGACCAAGTGTGTTGCGGGTGAGTCTCCACTCTCTCCTCACTCGCCTTACTGCGCGTGCCCTCAAGGCTCTGGAATAACCGAGACCAAGTGTGTTGCGGGTGAGTCTCCGCTCTCTCCTCACTCGCCTTACTGCGCGTGGCCTCAAGGCTCTGGGATAACCGAGACCAAGTGTGTTGCGGGTGAGTCTCCACTCTCTCCTCACTCGCCTTACTGCGCGTGCCCTCAAGGCTCTGGGATAACCGAGACCAAGTGTGTTGCGGGTGAGTCTCCACTCTCTCCTCACTCGCCTTACTGCGCGTGCCCTCAAGGCTCTGGGATAACCGAGACCAAGTGTGTTGCGGGTTAGTCTCCACTCTCTCCTCACTCGCCTTACTGCGCGTGCCCTCAAGGCTCTGGGATAACCGAGACCAAGTGTGTTGCGGGTGAGTCTCCACTCTCTCCTCACCCGCCTTACTGCGCGTGCCCTCAAGGCTCTGGGATAACCGAGACCAAGTGTGTTGCGGGTGAGTCTCCACTCTCTCCTCACTCGCCTTACTGCGCGTGCCCTCAAGGCTCTGGGATAACCGAGACCAAGTGTGTTGCGGGTGAGTCTCCACTCTCTCCTCACTCGCCTTACTGCGCGTGCCCTCAAGGCTCTGGGATAACCGAGACCAAGTGTGTTGCGGGTGAGTCTCCACTCTCTCCTCACTCGCCTTACTGCGCTTGCCCTCAAGGCTCTGGGATAACCGAGACCAAGTGTGTTGCGGGTGAGTCTCCACTCTCTCCTCACTCGCCTTACTGCGCGTGCCCTCAAGGCTCTGGGATAACCGAGACCAAGTGTGTTGCGGGTGAGTCTCCACTCTCTCCTCACTCGCCTTACTGCGCGTGCCCTCAAGGCTCTGGGATAACCGAGACCAAGTGTGTTGCGGTTGCAGGTGAGATGGTTGATATGTACTCGCTCGCTCTGCTCTCTCCGTCATCTCCTCTCCCTGTTCATTCCGCTCTCCACTCTCCCCACTCGCCACACTCGTTGCCTCACATTTCTCGCTCTGCCAGTGCTGAATGGCTGGTGTTGTTTTGTCATCGAAATGTGGCTATGCTCGTTTGGATGTATGAAGGTATGTGTGAATGCGGAAATGCATGAAAAGGTGCAGGCAAACACCGCTCTCAAAGTCCCTTTGTGCCACTCTTTTTCAGGTGGAGGTTCTAAGGCCTCTTCTATCAGCCACACACTCCTCTCCCTCCCTCTGTGGAAGAGGACACAAGTTAGGTGCCATTGAGTTCGGGGACAACAGGCAAAAACATGAAATGAGAGCTAAAGTGTAACAGCAAAAACTACTGTATACTAACACTTCTTAGCAGAAATCAAATAACTGCCAACTCTCTTTGGTAGCCTCCATGCGATAATTGCTCTCCTTGTAGAAAATGTGTCGTGTGCCATGGTAACGAGGTGACTTTTGAGTCGACTCAAAAGTTTCCCCATGTGCGAACGGTCAACCAGCGGGTTGAGCAGCGATTTCAGCACAAGGGGGCCACGTTTAGGAGAATCGCGAATGGAAGAGGCACGTTGGAAAAGTTCCCTCCGAGAGGCGAACGAAACTGACTTGAAAATTGGGAAGAGAAATCTTTCCGGGTACCCTCGGGCTCGTAACCGAGCGAAGAAAAGGGCGCGGGAGTTCAGGAAGTCAGTGCGAGAAGATGAGCGCAGTAAAAAGCGATGAAGCTCACTGCGGATAAAACCCTGCTTAGTGGTGCGGGTGTGGTAAGACCTGAAGGGGAGATATAAGTACCGATTCATCGGTTTCTGAAACAACTTCACATCCAAAATCCCGGTATTGTTGAAGCGTTCCCCTTTGAAAAAGGTAACATCCAAAAAGTCCATGGAAGACTCGGACAGAACCCAGGTCAGACGAATTGACGGATGAAGGGAGTCAAACCGCTCTTTCAGCCGTTGAAAGTCTTCCCGCCCTCCCTCCCACAAAATCAAGCCGTCGTCAATGAAATGAAGGTGAAGGGCAGGGGGTGCAGGAATGGATGAGTGTAGTTGAATGTCCAAAAAACTCATGAAAAGAACCGCGAAGCAAACTGCAACTGAGGTTCCCATAGCTGTGCCGTGGATTTGGCGGAAAAATCTGTTGTTTGAAGAGACATAGCTGTTAAACATCACCCAGCGTAGCAGACGAGTGATCAACGGGGCTAAAGGGTGCCTTGCTTTCTGTAAAAAATATGAAACAGCGTCAATGCCATCCAGTAAAGGAATAGACGGGTACAGGAACTCGACGTCGTATGAGGCAAGAAAAAGGTCCTTAGAGAAACGCCGTTGCTCAAGCTGAAGAATAAGGCTCTGTGAGTCTTTAACGTAGGTAGTCTGCTCCAGCACCAAAGGTCTTAGAACAGCATCCAGCCAGCGAGAAACGTTCGACGTAATCCAGGAATGACAGGCCGCAATAGGTCTTCCAGCCGGAGTTTTTTTATGGATCTTCAGTAGAATTTAAAAGGCAGGTACCTTCCAGCCGTCAGTAGGCTTATTAAAAAATGAAGTCCAAATCCGTTTAGGAAGAAGCGGTTCATAGTCAGAATGAATAGAATGAAGTCCGTGCAGGATATTGTCAATCGGAACTGATGAGTTTCTCGGTAGACCTTATTATTAAGAAGATGTTGAAGGCATTTATCTTGATAATAGTCCCTGCTCATCACTGTTAGTCCGAGATTTTTATCCGCCGGTTTGAAAATGAGATTAGAAAATGAGATTTTTATGCTGGCAATCCTAATCTCATTTTCAAACCGGCGGATAAAAATCTCGGACTAACAGTGATGAGCAGGGACTGTTAGAATCTAAGAACGAACGAGAATGATGAACTAGAAAGGAATGGGAGTACAAGTACCAAACCCTAGAGTAGTGTACCCCCTAAAGGCTAACCCACGGTAGCCTACACAACTATAACATATATAATGTTTGACACACCCCCATAGGCTAAGTGGGGGAGAGCAAGGGGTCACAAGACCAGTCAAAGCAAAGCAAAGCAAAGCAAGCTCAGGGTGGATCTCAAGGATACCACACAAATTCCGAGCACAAGCAAGCGGTCACAAGACCAGTTCACATGCAGTTTGATAATATAACAAGAGGTACAGTGATCACAACCTAGCAAGTGTAAGCATGCAAGTATATATATAGAGATCACAGTACAAGCAGAGCCAAGAAGTGAGCAAGTGAGGGACAGTAGGCACAAGGCCTAGAACAGTACAGAAACGCTGATGATCACAAGGCTGAAGCGCCTTGGTGAACACATCAGCAGTGTTGGCCCGAGTGGCCACGTACGAAAGACGAAGCTGACCACGCTGCTGCAGCTCTCGAGCAAGGAAGTAGCGCAGAGCGATGTGCTTCGTTCTGTGCTCCAGTCTGTGCTCCTGACACAAGGCAATGGCGGCCTTGTTGTCGACGTACAGCACTGGAGGAGAACGAGGCCGCTCTCCCAGGTCGGTCAGCAGGTAGGTGAGCCAGCGTAACTCCTGAGCCATGGCTGTGGCGTAGATCTCAGCCTCACAACTGGAGCTGAGAACTGAAGACGAGCGTGTAGAATGCCAAGAAACTGAACCAGAGCCAAGGCTGAAGGTGTAACCCTGAGACGACCGCTGCGTAGCCTGGTCGTCAGCCCAAGAAGCGTCTGAGTGTCCAGTGAGGACAACGTCGCTCCGTCCTCCAAGCACAAGCCCCATGCCCGACGTACTGCACAAGTAGCGCAACACCCTCTTAGCGGCATCCATGTGCTCCTTCCGGTGACGGCCAGGAGCGACATAGCGTGCTATGATGCTAAGAGGGTATGCAAGGTCAGGTCGAGTGCAGGTCATCAGGTACATGAGGCAGCCCACAAGCTCTGGATACGGGCCACTCGGCTCTACGGACTCATCCGAAGGCAGAGCTGAGAGCGAGTGACCGGTAGGCAGAGGAGTGGGCTGAGGCGAGGAGTACGTGAAGCGGAAGCGCTGAAGGACCTGCTGCACCATGTGTGACTGAGTCAAGGTGATGGTGCGCTGTGCTCTGTCCCGGGTGATCCGCAAGCCAAGATAGCTTGTCAGCTCACCCAGGTCTGTGCACGTGTGTCTCTTCTGCAGCTCCGACTTCACGTGGGCGAGTGCCTTAGTGTCAGCAGTAGCAAAGACCAAGTCGTCTACGTACACGAGAACGTAGAACGGCGGCAGAGTGGTGTCGGTGCGTAGAAACAGCGACGGGTCAGCAGTAGAAGGAGCAAACCCAAGAGCAGCAAGAGTCGTCCTCAGTGTGTCGTGCCACTCACGGGGTGCCTGGCGGAGACCGTAGACTGGCCGCCGGAGGCTCCACTGGGTACCAGGAGGGAACGACCCAGTGAAGCCAGGTGGGCGGCGCAGCCAGATCTCCTCGTGCAGGCTGCCCTGTAGGAACGCAGTGCTGAAGTCAAGAGAGTGGAGCTCGTAGTCACGCTGAGCGGCGACGTGCAGCAGAACCCAAAGAGTGGTCATCTTTGGGGTCGGGGAGAAGGTCTGGAAGAAGTCAACTCCCTCTCGCTGACTGAAGCCTCGTGCAACGTAACGCGCCTTGAAGACAGGCGGAGAACCCGGCGGCCGCTTCACCCTGAAAATCCACATGCCACTGACGATGTTCGCCCCAGGTGGGGGAACCTCGTCGACGTAGGTGCCTGTGGACTTCCAGGAAGCCATCTCTGCGTCCATGGCTGTCTGCCACTGAGAGGAGTAGGGACCCTCCATCGCCTCTGCGTAAGAGCGTGGGGTCGGGATGTCTGGTGCATCCGGGTCTCCCTCAGGGGCAATCAGCATGGACACGAGATGAGGTAAAGCAACGGCAAAGCACTCAAACTCCTCCTGTCTGTCCTCAAGGACGTTCGTGCCAAGAGCACACTCACCCCCGACGGACGGAGGACAGACAGACTCAGACTCAGCAACAAGGCTAGCGGCGTAGTCTAGACGACAGGCGGCAGCAAAGTCAACAAGCTCAGCGACTAGAGCAGACGCAGCAGAGGACTCAAAAGAAGGGTCAGTGACAACAGTGGCGAGGAGACGCGTGACAGTAGGACTGGCAGCACGAGCAAGGTCTGACGGCGGGTCAGCACGGCTCGGGTGGGACAGGGCGCTAGCGGGGCTGCAAGGGCAGGGCTAGCGGGGCGGGGCCGGTACGCGAGGGGCACGCAAGGGCGCGCGGGTGGAGCAGGTCCGGTCGCACGGGGCACGCAAGGGCGCGCGAGGAAGGGCGGGGCCGGATCGTGAGAAGCGCGCAAGGGCGCGCGGGGCAGCGAGCGCGCGGGGCCGCACAAGGCACGCAAGGGCGCGCGCGGGGCAGGTAACGCGCGTGAAGCTGCGCGGGTCGCACGCGAGGGCGTGCGAGGAGGGCGGGGCCGATCGCGTGGGGCACGCTAGGGCGTGCGGGCTGGGCGGGGCCGGTTGGCAAGGGGCACGCTAGGGCGCGCGACAGTGCAGATGAGAGGAGGGCGCTCGAGGGCGCGACTAGGCGAGGCGCGCTCGGGCGCGACTAACGGAAACGGTGGGCCCTATCAGTCGGTCCTAGGTTACGACCTAGGCTCGTAATACCATGTTAGAATCTAAGAACGAACGAGAATGATGAACTAGAAAGGAATGGGAGTACAAGTACCAAACCCTAGAGTAGTGTACCCCCTAAAGGCTAACCCACGGTAGCCTACACAACTATAACATATATAATGTTTGACAGGGACTATTATCAAGGTAAATGCCTTCAACATGTTCTTAATAATAAGGTCTACCGAGAATACTCATCAGTTCCGATTGACAATATCCTGCACAAACTTCATTCTATTCATTCTGACTATGAACCGCTTCTTCCTAAACGGATTTGGACTTCATTTTTTAATAAGCCTACTGACGGCTGGAAGGTACCTGCCTTTTATATTCTACTGAAGATCCATAAAAAAACTCCGGCTGGAAGACCTATTGCGGCATGTCATTCCTGGATTACGTCGAACGTTTCTCGCTGGCTGGATGCTGTTCTAAGACCTTTGGTGCTGGAGCAGACTACCTACGTTAAAGACTCACAGAGCCTTATTCTTCAGCTTGAGCAACTGCGTTTCTCTAAGGACCTTTTCCTTGCCTCATACGACGTCGAGTCCCTGTACCCGTCTATTCCTTTACTGGATGGCATTGACGCTGTTTCATATTTTTTACAGAAAGCAAGGCACCATTTAGCCCCGTTGATCACTCGTCTGCTACGCTGGGTGATGTTTAACAGCTATGTCTCTTCCAACGGCAGATTTTTCCGCCAAATCCACGGCACCGCTATGGGAACCTCAGTTGCAGTTTGCTTCGCGGTTCTTTTCATGAGTTTTTTGGACATTCAACTACACGCATCCATTCCTGCACCCCCTGCCCTTCACCTTCATTTCATTGACGACGGCTTGATTTTGTGGGAGGGAGGGCGGGAAGACTTTCAACGGCTGAAAGAGCGGTTTGACTCCCTTCATCCGTCAATTCGTCTGACCTGGGTTCTGTCCGAGTCTTCCATGGACTTTTTGGATGTTACCTTTTTCAAAGGGGAACGCTTCAACAATACCGGGATTTTGGATGTGAAGCTGTTTCAGAAACCGATGAATCGGTACTTATATCCGCAGTGAGCTTCATCGCTTTTTACTGCGCTCATCTTCTCGCACTGACTTCCTGAACTCCCGCGTCCTTTTCTTCGCTCGGTTACGAGCCCGAGGGTACCCGGAGAGATTTCTCTTCCCAATTTTCAAGTCAGTTTCGTTCGCCTCTCGGAGGGAACTTCTCCAACGTGCCTCTTCCATTCGCGATTCACCTAAACGTGGCCCCCTTGTGCTGAAATTGCTGCTCAACCCGCTGGTTGACCGTTCGCACATGGGGAAACTTTTGAGTCGACTCAAAAGTCACCTCGTTACCATGTCACACGACACATTTTCTACAAGGAGAGCAAATATCGCATGGAGGCTACCAAAGAGAGTTGGCCGTTATTTGATTTCTGCTAAGAAGTGTTAGTATACAGTAGTTTTTGCTGTTACACTTTAGCTCTCATTTCATTTTTTTGCCTGTTGTCCCCGAACTCGCCGCAGCGAAGATTATCCGCGCGGGTCAGAGTCTAGGTTGACGTTTTCTAGGCATATAAGTAGTACTCGTTCAGTAGGACAGCTTGTGGTCTGAAGAAGGCTTGTACGCCGAAACCGGTTACCACCGATTTGTTTTTACACAAGAGCGTTTTACAAAGTACTACCAACAACTACTGGTGTTGAATCCTAAGTTGCTGCCACGTATCGAACTCAATGGCACCTAACAGGTGCAGGCAAACACCGCTCTCAAAGTCCCTTTGTGCCACTCTTTTTCAGGTGGAGGTTCTAAGGCCTCTTCTATCAGCCACACACTCCTCTCCCTCCCTCTCCTCTTCTCGACTTTTGAGGCGCCTCAAAAGTCCTCACACACTCCTCTCCCTCTCCTCTATTCGCCTCACTCCATTTCAGGTGGAGCTTCCAAGGTCTCTTCATACAGTATCACACTCATCGTGACTTTTGAGGCGTCTCAAAAGTCAAACATTGCGCTGAGTCCATCCTTTTGTGCCACTCTTTTTCAGGTTGGGCTTCCGTGGTCTCTTCGTACAGCATGACTGTGATCGCAAATCCAACAGCCAAGGACAGTTCATCCCGGCACTACACCTTACGCCTCAACCTGAGTGACTGTACTGAACTCCCAGTTGCTGTAGCTGGCAAGTACAGGACAATATATAGTGTTGAAAACACTGACGATGCTCCAAAATGCGCCAGTATTGAATATTTCTCATCTGATAACTGTGAAGATGATCCTGATCACGGCGGCCCCTTTACAACCCCCCCTCCGTTTGTTGCACATTTTGAACAGTGAGTGGTTCTAATAATGTTTTTTCCACCTGCATGCTTGCACAGCTTTTCCACTTCACTTTCTGTACCGCGCTCATCAAATGTGATACATGTCTGAGTCATCTTATCCCCGTTTTCCTGCCCCTGTTACCATCAACCAGGGACATCCCAGAAGGTATTGCTATTCGCTCAATTTGGTGTACTGAGTAGGGTGATGTGGATGGCTTCTCCTTAACACTTAATGATATTTCTTCTTCTCTCCACTCAATGGAGATTCAGTGCACAATCATCTTTCTTGTCATCTCTTTGCAGGAATGCTTGTAGAGCTGTACGTGTAGTGTATGAAACTGTTGGAAGTGTACTTTATTGGATTTAATTGAAACCTCTTTCATTGGTGGCGCACTAGCGCATCCTTGCCACAACACAGGCACATGGTGTTACGTACAGAGTTGTAACAAGCTAGCATTTTTACTCACATCACAATCACATAAGAAACTACTACATGTAGCGCTACGCAATCCCACTCAGCTGTATACACCTTATGCACTTTCATAAGGAGGGGGGTAATGTAAGAAAAATAACATCATGTCCGACTTTCATACTACGTACTAAACTGTTTCTAAGTCTCGCTTACCGTTTACTGTATTCTTATCACAAGATATATAGGATTTTGTGTCACCAGCCCGAACTGTCACCTCCGCTAGAACTTTTCGCTAGTATTTCCAATCCCAAGGTTCAGGTCTTCTGATCTGAACGCGTCACATCCAAGTACTAGTACCAACAAGCAGTCAAGCAGATGAAAATTACCGAACATCCCAGCGCAATTCGGTCGTCGGAACCGATTTGCCTGGGTCGTCAGAGGGGGTCGTCGAAGCCTGGGCTGACGGGGCGGAGCACTGACGCGCGTGCGGGCCCGCCAGCCTGGCCCAGGGCTGGGCCGAGCGCACGACCACCGCCCCGCAGCCCCGCTCCGAAAGTGAACAACGACCCACGTTACCGGGTGGGGTCGGCGAACTGGCGACACCTCGCGCGTGGGAAAGTTACCCTCGCGCGAAGGCAGCCCACACGTGCCACCTGCCCGCGAGGTCCTAGTAACCCATCGCGGCCTGCCCGACGGGCAGGCGAGGGCCATGCGAAAAAACGGGGCCCCCCTCGGGACACTCGACAATTTCGCGACCCATTGCGGTCATGCCACGTGTTCGCCCGTGGCTTCGCATCGCACGCATGCGAAATTTCGGACGATGCGAAATTAAAACCTCTCGCATCGCATGCGCAATCTATCATCGCGATCCGCTACGAAATCGACACGTGTCGGCCCTAGCGACGCTCCGCGCGCATGCGAGTTGTGCGTCCCCTCGCCGACCTGCACCAATGGACGCGAGGTCGACGCTCTGCCATGGCGGAGACGGACCACCTGTGCCACTTGCGCATGCGCCCTCCGAGCCCTGCCGAGCCAGGCCCCACACCCTTGGGCGATGCTGAACGGGCCTGGGGTGGGGCACCACCTCCTTTTCATTGTGGAAGGTGGCTTCGATCCTCATTTTCCCCATCTCGTTTCGATCTTCAGACCTAGTTAGCTCTGCGCCTCCCCCTAAATCCGTGCTATCGTACCTTAGCCGTCCTCGTCTTCCCTTAGTCGATATGGAGCCGATCCCCGACGCCGATAAGTCGGCGCCGACTTCGGATGACTTTCCCCTTCGACACCGAATGGGTCGCGGTCTCAGCTTCACCTTCGAGTGGGACGACTTCGCCGCCCTTCGCGACCACAAGAAAGAGTTCACCGAGCGATGCTTGGGATTCGGCATCAGGTGGGACTCGAGTAGTCGCGGTTGGCGAATATGGCAGATGTCGGCGCCGACTTACTCTAGATGGGCGCATAGGGTATATGTCGGCGCCGTCAGGATTGTTATCAGACTTACGTCGGCGTACGCGGCATTAGGCATGGACCCCGTCCAGGGACGTCGGTCGGCATAGCAAGCGTCGACCTGGTAGCGTTAGCGTTTGCTTACCCGCCATGTGATCATCCCTCATGCCCACTCGTGCGCTCAGGTACGCTTGGTTACGCATTGGGCTGAACGACCAGACGCTGTGGGTAATCGGAGTCGGCCCGCTTCGATCGGCCCTGAAGGCCGCCGACCATTCTTGCTTTGCTACGGTTTTCGACGCCGACATCGCCGCTATCCCGTTAAGAACGACGTGAGCTGTTTCCCCGTTGTCCACTTATCGTTTTGTTTAGTCGGTCGCATCATCGCCTAATGTTGTGGTCGACGCCGTCGTTTATTGCATGTGCAGCGGCGGTCCGCTTCCAGGGTCACACTGCAGCGTCATAGCCATCCTCTACCCAGGAGATCTGCTGAAGGCTGAGGGACAGGTCTGCAGGACCTCGATCCGGCACATCGACCCGCATACCGGAAAGGGTTTGCACCGCGACGAGGCCGTCCGGGTGCTGAAGTAAGTTGTGAATAGTCGTCGATGTCCCGCATGTTAGTCGCCGACACAGGGTATCACATGCTGACCGCCTCCTTTTACCACGATGCTCTAGGCTATTCCGCACGGCTGTCCTGGCCGAGCTGGGGCGTCCCGGTAGGAAGTGGGACGAGGCGCCGCCATCACAAGCAGTGGTGGAGGACAGGCTTGCCGACTGCGACCACCCTATCCGCGACGTGAGTTGCACGTTTATCCATTAAGGGGGGTGCACGTTTCTGTATGCTCCGCTCATAATGTTCCGCACTTGCCGGTGTTGTATGCAGAAAGTGCCAGACACAGTGTCGGACGAGAAGGTCGGCACCAGCATGCTTGCCGCGACGTCGTTCGGGTGGGTGGCCAAGCAGATTGACCTGCTGACGGGCGAGAAGGGTCATAGTGGGGTGAGCATCGAGAACATCAAGACAAAGGGGCTGCGGACGTTGCGAGACAGCATGGTGGAGTACATCTGCAAGCGCATCGCCGAAAAACGCTCTGCGGCGCCGACATCACAAGCCGTCGAACCCGCCGACAGTGTGATTGATGACGACGGCGCGGAAAGACAGACGGCGCCCCAAGCAGCAGTTGCCGCCCAGCATCAGGGGAACGCGGAAGGAGGAAACGGTGGAGGAGGAGGCAACGCTGCGACAGGTGCAGGAAGGAAGGAAGAGGAGTCGGAGTCGGATTCGGAGTCGGAGTCGGAGTCGGAGTCGGAGTCTGAGGAGGAGGCGGAGGAGGAGGTTGAGGCGGTGAAGCGGAAGGACGAGAAGGAGGACGGGGACGAGGAGGAAGGGAAGGATGAGGAGGGGGAAGGGAAGGATAGGGAGGGGGAAGGGAAGGATGAGGAGGGGGAAGGGAAGGATGGGGAGGGGGAAGGGAAGGATGAGGAGGGGGTGGAGGAAGTGGTGGAGTACGAGCTGGAGTACGAAGAGGTGGGAGCTGCGGTAGAGGCGGTGGGGTCGGCGGATGAAAAGAACGAGGAAGCGGAGGATGGCGCTGCGGGTAATGATACGAGATCGGCAGATGGGGGGGAGGAGAAGGATGAGGTCGGCGTGGAGGCAATGACGGAAAAGGGCCAGGAGGAGGCGGCATGCGAAGGTGGGAAGGTGTCGGTCGACGCCGGCGAAGGGGCGAACACCACGGGCGTGCAGGAGACGGGGGAAGCTTCTGGTCGGCAGGATCCTGAGCTGGACGACGTCGAGCAGGTGCGACGGGAGAACTGGCTGTTGAGGGCGGAGAACGCTCGGCTGGCGACGTTGCTCGATGCGGAGCAGGCTCGGCTGGACCGTTTTTTTGTTGGGATACGTGGACTCGTCGACCACGTGAAAGTGTTGGCCGAGCAGGTCGACGACACCGAGAAGTATGCGGCGGAACAGCTGCGAAACGCGACTGCGGCCATGTCGAAGACCATCACGGGCGACATCACCGGCAGCTTCGACGAAGCGTGGAAGGCGATGAAGACCTTCGGGGAACAGGCGTCGGCGTGGTTGGAGGACTTCGACAACCCGGAGGGTCGTGTGGCATATGCACGCGCGGCAGCGGTCAACGCCTTGGCCGATCACGTGACTGGGGAGGTGGGCAAAGCGAAGCGGGGTTTGGAGCAGTACATCACGACGCAACTATCCGCCGCGCAGGTCAACATCGCCACCGCTGTGACCGCCAGGCTCGCCGTGCCGCCGCCGCCACCGCCTCATCCCACGCCGCCCGCCCTCCCGGAAGAGCTATTGAAGTCGTTCAAGGCCGACATCATGAAGGCGGTGACGGAGGCCACCCAGCAGTCTTTCGTTGCTTCCGGGATGAAGATGATGGCCGAGATGTTCGGCACTGTGGCGCCTAGTCGACGTGGCTCGTCGCCGTCGGCCAATGACGCCGATCACGCGCAACGGAAGACGGCCGACAAGCAGGGCCTGAAGAGGACGGGCGACGGAGACGACAAGGAGAGCGCGAAGGGCGACGCGAAGCGGAGCAAGGGATCGGACGGGAGCCGCGGCTCGAAGCCTGCGGCACAGAGCGTGGTCGACCAGCTGAAGGCGAAGGCGGGGTGGAGGGTGATAAGGACGTCGAACAGCAAGGGAGGCGGAAGCGGGGGGGGCAGAGGGTGGCCCTGCCGACGGGGTTGCCGCTAACGTCGCTCCTCCGCCTGGCTCGCCTTTGGTCGCCGAGTAGACCCATCCCCAGGCGAGCGGTGGGAAAGGCGTGACCGACAAGGAGGTCCCGACTGCTCAGGCGGCGAAAGATGGCGGCGCCGGAACCACCAAGGGACCGTCCGTCGCGGTGGCGGCCAAGGGCAACGCGAAGGCTGCTTCTGCTACGGTCGCCGGCACCACCAAGTCGAATCCCCGTAACCCCCCTGCGGCTACTAGCGCGCCGGTCGGCCAGTCAGGTGCGAACAAGGATGGGGAGGCCCGTACGGCCCCTCCAGCTCCAGGAGCCCCGGCTGCCGCCAAGGGCGACGCGAAGGCTGCTTCGGCTAAGGGCGATGCTCCGGCATCAGCTAAGGGCCCCCCCGGTGGTGACGCGCTCAGGGAGTTGCTCCGCCGCATGGAGGCACATAGCAGGGACGTGCAGCAGCATCCCGTGGTTGACGCCGGCCAAGCCGGAACAGCACGTCGCTCCGTCACTCCGCAGGTTGCCGGCACATCGTCCGGTGCCCCACCTGCCACGCATCCAGTCGCCGCCCCACCGCCTGCGGACCCCAAGTCCACGTTTCTTCGCGCCCATTTAGGCGCACGCAAAGCGGCAGCTCCACCGGTGACCCAGCCTGAACCCGGCAAACGCGCGACGACGACGTCGGTAAACGCGACCGCACCCTCACCAGGTGCAGCTGTGGTCGATGCGGCGACGGAGAAGGGAGTGAGCGCAGCGCTAGCCACCGGCGGCCGCGCCGACAAGCATGCCGAACTCGCTGCCGTCCTGGCCCATTTTGAAGCAGCAAAACGCCCTGAGCACGCCCCTGCTCTGGCCATCATGGACACGGCGCATGTGGAGCCGTCGGCGACCGACGGTGGGGGATCGGCGGAGCCGACGGCTGCAATGGGTGCTGTCGCCGAGAGAAATGCGGGAGGGAAGGGGAAGGTCGACACCGGGAAAGGGAGGGCGGTCTCTCAGAGGAGCACGCGGGCGATGTCGGCGGGGATGGAGATGTCGGAAGAGAATCAGGACAAGACGGGCAGCAAGGGTAAGCCGGCGAAGAAGAAGGAGAAGGCGGAGGAGGAGGACGAGGAGGGCGGCGAGGTAGATAAAGAGCATGGACGCAGGGGTCATGGCATCCGCCATGACAAGTCCGGCGACCGGCTTGGGTGGGTGGGCGAGATTAAGGTAAACGGACAGAATCGATACATCGGCAAGTCGAGGGAGAAGATGGAGCTGGCCTACGAGCACGCGATTGCGTACTTCCTCTACGACGGCTACGTGAGCAAGGTGCTCATGAAGGAGCTCACCGTCTTGAAGCCGGGGGAGTTGGATAAATGGAAGGAGGTGTGGGAGGAGGTCAAGTTCTTACCGACTGGGTTGTGGACGGTGATGTGGGCCAGAGGCTTGTGCCATCCGAGAGCAAGGTAAGACGGATACCGGCGTGCCGAGTTCTGTCGACCATGTTGGTGTCATTACGCTGATGTCGACTCGCTCGTGTCGTTTTAATGTGTTTGCGCGGCAGGTTCGACGATATACTCGACAGGTACCGTGGGTACGCGAGGTCGGGTGTTGCGCTTCATGAGGTGCTCTGGCCGGCGACCTGGTTCCCCATCATCGAAAACACGGCGGAAGGCAAGGAGGAGACGGAGGCTCTCCTGTCGGCGATGGTAAATCGCGTGTCGATGAGCGCGGCGTATGGGAAGGTCGCGGCGAGCGCGGCGTTTGGGAAGGTCGATGCGATCGAGGAGGGGAAGGCGGGAGAGAAAACGGAGATGGAAGGCGCGGGGGGGAAGGCGGACGAGAAGACGGAGATGGGGGCCCAGGCGTTAGCGGCATCTGCATGCGCCCTCTGGTGCTTCGTGGAGACGGGGGCGTCGGTGCTCGGTGCTGTGGGCGAAGGGAAGGCGGCGGCGATGGTGGCAGGTGCGGGGGAGGAGAGGGCCGAGGCATTCAAGAAGGTGATGCACGCGGTGATAGACTTAGTCTCAGAATGAGTGAAGTGGTTGGACTAGCAAGAATGAGAGTACAAGTACAAAACACTAGAGCAATGTACCCCCTAGAGGCTAACCCACTGTAGCCTACAAACTACAACACATATAATGTTTGACACACCCCCATAGGCTAAGTGGGGGAGAGCTAGGGGTCACAAGACCAGTCAAAGCAAAGCAAAGCAAAGCAAGCTCAGGGTGGATCTCAAGGATACCACACAAATTCCGAGCACAAGCAAGTGGTCACAAGACCAGTTCACATGCAGTTTGATAAGATAACAAGAGGTACAGTGATCACAACCTAGCAAGTGTAAGCATGCAGGTATATATATAGAGATCACAGTACAAGCAGAGTCAAGAAGTGAGCAAGTGAGGGACAGTAGGCACAAGGCCTAGAACAGTACAGAAACGCTGATGATCACAAGGCGGAAGCGCCTTGGTGAACACATCAGCAGTGTTGGCCCGAGTGGCCACGTACGAAAGACGAAGCTGACCACGCTGCTGCAGCTCTCGAGCAAGGAAGTAGCGCAGAGCGATGTGCTTCGTTCTGTGCTCCAGTCTGTGCTCCTGACACAAGGCAAGGGCTGCCTTGTTGTCGACGTACAGCACTGGAGGAGAACGAGGCCGCTCTCCCAGGTCGGTCAGCAGGTAGGTGAGCCAGCGTAACTCCTGTGCAGCCATGGCTGTGGCGTAGATCTCAGCCTCACAACTGGAACTGAGAACTGAAGACGAGCGAGTAGAACGCCAAGAAACTGAACCACATCCAAGGCTGAAGGTGTAACCCTGAGACGACCGCTGCGTAGCCTGGTCGTCAGCCCAAGAAGCGTCTGAGTGCCCAGTGAGAACAACGTCTCTCCGTCCTCCAAGCACAAGCCCCATGCCCGACGTACTGCACAAGTAGCGCAACACCCTCTTAGCGGCATCCATGTGCTCCTTCCGGTGACGGCCAGGAGCGACATAGCGTGCTAGGATGCTAAGAGGGCATGCAAGTTCAGGTCGTGTGCAGGTCATCAGGTACATGAGGCAGCCCACAAGCTCTGGATACGGGCCACTCGGCTCTACGGACTCATCCGAAGGCAGAGCTGAGAGCGAGTGACCGGTAGGCAGAGGAGTGGGCTGAGGCGAGGAGTACGTGAAGCGGAAGCGCTGAAGGACCTGCTGCACCATGTGTGACTGAGTCAAGGTGATGGTGCGCTGTGCTCTGTCCCCGGTGATCCGCAAGCCAAGATAGCTTGTCAGCTCACCCAGGTCTGTGCACGTGTGTCTCTTCTGCAGCTCCGACTTCACGTGGGCGAGTGCCTCAGTGTCAGCAGTAGCAAAGACCAAGTCGTCTAGGTACACGAGAACGTAGAACGGCGGCAGAGTGGTGTCGGTGCGTAGAAACAGCGACGGGTCAGCAGTAGAAGGAGCAAACCCAAGAGCAGCAAGAGTCGTCCTCAGTGTGTCGTGCCACTCACGGGGTGCCTGGCGGAGACCGTAGACTGGCCGCCGGAGGCTCCACTGGGTACCAGCAGGGAACGACCCAGTGAAGCCAGGTGGGCGGCGCAGCCAGATCTCCTCGTGCAGGCTGCCCTGTAGGAAAGCAGTGCTGAAGTCAAGAGAGTGGAGCTCGTAGTCACGCTGAGCAGCGACGTGCAGCAGAACCCGAAGAATGGTCATCTTCGGGGTCGGGGAGAAGGTCTGGAAGAAGTCAACTCCCTCTCGCTGACTGAAGCCTCGTGCAACGTAACGCGCCTTGAAGACAGGCGGAGAACCCGGCGGCCGCTTCACCCTGAAAATCCACATGCCACTGACGATGTTCGCCCCAGGTGGGGGAACCTCGTCGACGTAGGTGCCTGTGGACTTCCAGGAAGCCATCTCTGCGTCCATGGCTGTCTGCCACTGAGAGGAGTAGGGACCCTCCATCGCCTCTGCGTAAGAGCGTGGGGTCGGGATGTCTGGTGCATCCGGGTCTCCCTCAGGGGCAATCAGCATGGACACGAGATGAGGTAAAGCAGCGGCAAAGCACTCAAACTCCTCCTGTCTGTCCTCAAGGACGTCCGTGCCAAGAGCACACTCACCCCCGACGGACGGAGGACAGACAGACTCAGACTCAGCAACAAGGCTAGCTGCGTAGTCTAGACGACAGGCGGCAGCAAAGTCAACAAGCTAGCAGACGGAGCAGAGGACTCAAAGGTAGGGTCAGTGACAACAGTGGCGAGGAAACGCGTGACAGTAGGACTGGCAGCACGAAGGGAGTCAGACGGTGGGTCAGCAACGGCAGGAAGAGAGGACGCAGGAGGAGACGGCAGAGGGACGCGCTGTGGAGCAGTGGAAGGACGCAGGGTCATATAGTGAGTGCCAAGGACAGGAGGAGGACGCTGACGCGGAGCACGACGACCAGTGCGGACAGCGCGGACAGGCGACTATGGACGCGACTCAGACGACTCTGGACGAGACTCAGGCGACGGAGGACGAGACTCAGGCTCACGACGCTCCGTCAGACTACTCGTCGGCGCAGTGTAAGGAGAAGGACCAGGCAGCGGAGAGGCAAGCGGTAACTGTGACTGCAACCGGACAGGTGGTGGACTCAGGAGGGGAGGAGAAGGACCAGTGGAGGGCGGGAGGCCAAGAACCTGCTGAAGGAGCGGAACGTAGTACGGTCGCGGCCGCTCAGCACCTCCTGAACCAGCAGAGACAGCACCAGCACCCTCAGCCCCAGGGTCTCCAGCGACAACTCCCTCAGCACCACCAGTAACCCCAGCAGCTCCAGTACCTCCAGCTCCAACCCCCGCAGCACCTCCAGCAGTACCAGCAGCACCTCCAGCACCAGCAGCGCCAGCACCAGCAGCAGCTCCAGCTCCAGGGTCCGCTGCACCAGCACCAGCAGCACCTCCAGCAGCAGCAGTGCCTCCAGCAGCTCCAGGACCAGCAGCACCTCCAGCAGCGCCAGCAGCACCTCCAGCACCAGCAGCGTCAGCACCAGCAGCACCTCCAGCAGCTCCAGGACCAGAAGTACTTCCAGCAGCACCAGCAGCACCACCAGCAGCTCCTGCACCAGTAGTACCAGCAGCGTCAGCAGCTCCAGCTCCAGGGTCCGCGACACCAGTAGCGCCACTCCGGAGACTGCAGCGCCGAGCGTACCACTCTCGGAGCCGCTGGGGAGAGGGCGGCTCCCGCCTAGGAGGGGAACTACAAGCACCAGCTCCAGCAGCACCCCTAGCTCCAGAAGCGCCCCTCCTGAGGCTGCAGTACTGCAAGTACCACTCCCGCAGCTGCTGTGAGGAGGGAGCGCCTCCAGGTGCAGCACGGTCAGTCGCAGCACCCTCTGGCTCAGCACCCTCAGACGTAGCACTCTCAGGCTCAGCACCCCCAGACTCAGCACCCCCAGACTCCGTACCCGCAGGCTCCGCACCCCCAGGCTCAGCACCCCCAGGCTCCTCACCCCCAGACTCTGCACCCCCAGGCTCCGCACCCCCAGGCTCCGCACGCTCAGGCTCAGCACCCCTAGCAGGACGAGAGTCGACAGCTACCTCGACAGGCTCAACCGGGTCTACCGGGGACACACCTGAGGGAGCGGCACCCTGAGGGGGAAGGGGGTCTACCACAGCAGCACCTGGTGCGAGGAAGAGAGGCGGGGGGGGAAGCGGGGCAGTGCGGTAGGGGAAGAGGCGGTAGTAGGGGACCGACTCGTCGAAAGTGACGTCCTGAGAGGGCAGGACACGGCGCGAGGTGGCGTGGTAAAACTGCCAACCAGACGCGTCCGGGACAAAGCCAAGGAATACACAAGGAACAGCACGGGAGGAGAGCTTGTCCGCGGATGTATCGCGGACAAAAGCTCGAGATCCCCAGACCCGGAAATGCGACGCATCGCCAACCTCTCCCGTCCAACGCAGTGTCGGCGAAGTCTCCAGAACGGAGACACGGGGCCAGAGGTTGAGCTGATGCACAGCGTATCGGACCGCAAACGGCCACAGAAAGTGGGGGGCAGCCGCATGGATCAAGGAGGTACGAGCGACCTCCATGACCAAACCAATGCGGCGCTCAGCAACCCCATTCTGCTGTGGAGAGGCCGGAAGTGTGAACGACTGCTCAATGCCCTCCCCCTGACAGAAGGCCCTCAAGAGGTCGGAGGAAAACTCCCCACCTCTGTCAGAGTGCAGACGCAGGACACGAAAGTCCGAGTGGAACCTCTCGCTGAGCTGGAGACGGGCAGCACGGATCCAAGGGATCAAAACATCAGGGACTTCACCCTTGGTGCGCAAGGGGAAGACCGTGGTGTAGCGTGAGTAGTCGTCAACAACTATCAAGAAGTACCTCTCGTGACCCTGTCCACGGACGCGGGCTGGGCCCCACACGTCCATGTGGAGCGTCTGCAAGGGAGCAGTCGTCGGGGGAAACGAGGAGGAGTGAGGAGCGGCGCGCTGCCGCCCCTCGACACAGGGAAGACAAGGAGGAGCAGGCGAGGGTGGGAGGGGAGGGAGAACCCTGGGAAGACCAGAGACAAGGTACCGTTTGTGCATGCCACGAAGGCGCTGCACTGACGGGTGACCAAGGCGGTGGTGCCAGAGGACGGTCTCGTGCGCCAAGGAGCGACACGAGCAGGGGGCCGACAGCTGACCTGACGCAGACGCAGACGCAGGTACCTGGGGGGACTCAGTGGTCAGTGTGTACAGGTCCGACCCCGGCTGCCGAGTGAAGGTAGCCAGGTGGCGACCCGTCCGAGCACACGTGCAGTGTGTCACACGCTCGTAGGCAGGGGTGAACTGGTGGACACCCCCGTCCTGAAGGGCACTAACTGCCACCAAGTTCGTAGAGAACGAGGGGAGGTAGAGACCTGAAAGTGTGCCCGACGGGACCGCAGGACAAGGGAGGACAGTGGAGGAGGTCGCAATGACCGGACCCCCAGTGCGGTCACGAAAGAAACAGCGAGAAGCACCTGAGTCCAGTGTGAAGGTGTGCAGTGCCTCAGTAGACTCAGTACCAGAGGGCGCAGACTCACGAGCACCTAGAGCAGCAGCCTCACCAGCACCTGGGGCAGCAGACACGCGAGCACCTGGAGCGGCAGTCTCACCAGCACCTGGGGCAACAGACGCACTGGCACCTAGAGCGGCAGCCTCACTGGTCCTAATGCCCGGGTCAGGCGGGACACGCAGGTACTGGTCACTCGCTCCACTAATAGTCAATGCATACATGGCACTAAGGATAGCATCAAAGTCAAGCAAAGACATCAATATTCTTTTTCATCAGATCAGCCCAGCGGGGCAGCTCAGTGGCGTCAGGAAACTGTGCACGCCAGGCGTCGTCGAGACGAAAGAAGCAGCGGTGTGCCGTGTGGAACCTCCCACAGGTTTGGCCAGTGCGGTCACCTGTGCGGATAAGGTACGGGCAGGTACCTCCACCCCCAGACCCCCCACGCTGAGAGTACCACTCACGGAGCTGCTGGGAGGTCGGGGTCTCGCCGGGACGCTGCTGCTGCTGCCTCTGGCCACCACTGAACCCTCCACGCTGCACCGCCCCACCACGCCCGCCACCAGCTCCACCGCCGCCACCACTACCACCGCCACCCCCGCCACTCCCACTACCGCCGCCGCCACCACCCCCTCCTCCGCCACTGACCCCCCCCCCACCAGCACCACTCCCACCACCGCCACCACCCCCGCCTCCTCCACCCCCTCCACTACCGCCGCCCCCGCCTCCACCTCCGCCACCCTTTCCCCCCTTGCCCTTGCCGCTCTTGCGCCTCCAACTAGGAGCAGACGCAGCCCCGACCTCCTCAGCACCGAGGTAGTCGACAGCAGCAGCAGATGCAATGGAGGGGAGAAGGGGGACGGGGGAACACCCCTCAAAGAAGGGAGTGCGAGGGTCGCCACGAGAGGCACCTACAGCTACAATACTCTTCTCAGCTGCAAGGAGCTCCTTCTCGAGCAGGTCGACAGTGAGGTCAGTGGGAGAGAGGGCGAGAAACTGGTCCCTGACAGCGCGAAGAGAGTCAAGGAGGCGAGTGACTAGGTGGTAGAGTGTGAGGTACATCGGGGGAGGGTTCTTGGCGAGGAAATCAGGAGGAAGCGCGGCACGGTAGCGGAGATCACTAGAGCGGAGGTGAGTGATGAGGTCAGCTACAGTGGCAAAGGCAGACAGATCCGGGAAGAGATAGGGCAGCGAGAGACGGCCTATCGTAGCAGTAGCAGGGGAGGAGTAGCGCGCAACTACAGCGTCGTACAGCTCCTTAGCGGTCTTATGCTGGCCAAAGTGCTCGCGCTCATCTAACGGTAGGTGGCTGCAAACGGCTAGGCGAGCGTGAGCGTCACGGGTCTGCCACTGTGAGCGAGCTGTACTGTCAGCAGTAGCAGCAGGTGCGAGAGCTACGCCAGACGTGTGGTCAAATAGACAAACGTCAAACTTAATCGGTCGGCCCTCAGAGTCAAAGGTGAGAACAGTAGGACTGGCCATAGTGGCAGGAGCAGCAGTAGCAGCAGCACCTCCAGCACCAGCAGCGTCAGCACCAGCAGCACCTCCAGCAGCTCCAGGACCAGTAGTACCTCCAGCAGCACCAGCAGCACCACCAGCAGCTCCAGCGTAAGAGGAGAGGAGGCGCTCGAGGGCGCACTAGGAGCGAGGCGCACGAGGGCGCTAGGAAAGGACGGCGCACGAGGGCGCTTCGAGCGGAAATGGTGGGCCCTAAGAACGGTCCTAGGTTCCTAACCCTAGGCTCTGATACCATGTCAGAATGAGTGAAGTGGTTGGACTAGCAAGAATGAGAGTACAAGTACAAAACACTAGAGCAATGTACCCCCTAGAGGCTAACCCACTGTAGCCTACAAACTACAACACATATAATGTTTGACACTTAGCACGCAGTAGGGAGGCTCCCGCGGGGGAGGTTGCACATAACGTCGCGCCAACGCTGCAGCGCCATGCAGTGGTCAGGGCCTTCGAGGAGGGAGTTGAAGAAGTCGAGGCCGACATGATCGCCAGAGCGACGGTCGAGACCTTGGCGTTCTGGGGAATGTGCCCCGTCGCCGGGCCCAAGCTCAAAGAGCAGGGCATCGATGTGCCGTGTGACGCGAAGATGGAGTACGATATGGAGCACAGGGGGAGGAAGGGGGAGAAGGTCAAGCAGGGTAAGGGCAGCAAGAGGAAGAAGAGGCAGACGGGCAAGCAGGGCAAGGACAGTACGGATGCGTAGTCGGCGGGCTGTGGTGTATATGTCGGCAGCATAGCAACATGTTACTCGCCGATGTAGGATGAGTCCTCCGAGCTGACATCGACCTGTGTTTTGATGTCAGCAAGATGTAGTCTGGGCGGCGCCAATTTCGTGGTTGCATGTAACTTTTTGTTGTGCTTGTAACTTTTTGGTAGTGCATGTAACATTTTGGGAGCATGCTACTAGAACCCCAACCGGCGTTGTCGGCCAGACCTAAACCCGCAGAGTTGCAATCGGCGTATACATGTGGCACCGTTTTCGTTGTAATGTTGATGAATATTTGCCTCGTAGCGCACATACCTTTCTTCTTTTGCTTTTGGGATGATATATATCACTGTCCTCTTAGAAACATGCTACTCGACGTCGACACATCGACGTCGATTTACTGGGTGACTGACAACGTTCACCGCTTCGGGGATCCAGTTGTGGGTTTGTTACAACCAACCGGAAGAGTAATTGCAGTATGGGGGGTTAAAGTCGGCCACAATTGACAGCATCAAGCTACGCACATGCATATCCTACAAGGGTCTTCATGCCGACTTCTTGCGCTTGGTCGGAGGACGTTGCACCGGTGCGGTCGGCTTCGCCAGGTCGGCCACGGTCTTCGGCATCTGCTCCTCCCAGGTGTCTGGAAACAGGCGGGCGACCCAATCACCCGGCTTCAGGTTGAGCGCCACAAGCGCACAGGCGAGGCGTAGCTTCGAGACCACCTTGGGGGCAAGCCCCTTGACGCCCATGCCAGGCTCCTTGGAATGCGTCGGTGCCGTTCCCGGGTTGAGCACAGTGAGGGCATCGCAGAAGGTCCCAATGCCCGGTGCCGCGATCTTGTTCAGTGCATCGACCACGGCTTCGGTGTCGACATCGCCGTCGCTCGCGCGTAGCTGGCGCACCGCATCCATGGCCTTCAGCATGCGGCGCACCCTCATGTTGAGTGCACCCTGCGTCGCGCCGTTGAGGAGGGTGTGGCGGTCGATGAACCCCGGCTCGGCGACCCTGACGCAAAGACGACGGGTGCCATTGGCGGTGGCGGAGTTCCAGAGGCGCCAAGCGTCCCGCACGGTCTTTGCCTCCCGCCAAGGTTGCACCACGTTGAGCTCGTAACTGGCCTCCTCTTCCGTCTGAGGGGGTGGCGGGGGTTTCGCATCCCCTCTCTTGGCTCCGGTCCCCGTGTTGGCCGAATCCGCGGAGCCACCCTCGCTCGGAGCTTGCTCGGTCGCTGACGGTGGCGCCGCCGGCATCCTCCGGGCTTCTGACACACGGAGTGCCTCGGTGAGTCGAGCAAGATCGGCGGTGAGCGACGCGATGGTGTCGTCTTGCATCTCGAGCTTCTCCTGAAGGTCTAGCTTCTCGAGCGCCGAGCGCTCGATCTCCTTCTTCAGCGCCTCCTTGAGGGACATGTTGTGATACTGGGTGTCCATGCGGACGGAGATTTCCTGCCATTTGGGGGTTTGCGGCGAGGCGACATGAGGTTAGAATTCACCGGTATTCGAACGACGCCGACAAGGTCGGCAACTCACCTCTGGCTGAATCTGTGTCGGGTCCTGGCGCTTTTTGATCGTCTCGGTGTCGACCGACTCGACCCTTTTCGCCCAGTGCTGGAAGAGGGCATCCCTGCAGAGCTTGGAACCTTGGACGTACGGGTGCCACGGTGTGCGGACGAGCTTCACCGCGAGGTCCTCGGCGACAATGCGTCGGAACATCACGAGGGTGCGCAAGAAGTGCACTGCGGCTTTGTCGGCGTCGCTTCCGTTGACAGCACGTGTTTCCGCCTGCAAGTCGGCAAGTAATGTGGTTAGTAGGGAGTTGGGCAGCCAACTAGGCCACGACGACAGAAGAACATTGTTGGCGTCGCGTGACATACATCGCGCAGCATAGAATCCACGTCGGGGAAGATGTGCTCGGCGAGGAGCTTCAGGAGTTCCCCGGAGGGCTCGACCCTGCTGCGGCCCAAGAAGTAGTCTTGCTTGAGTCCCGAGTAGCCGGCCTTCCGCATCACCACCCCAACGGGAATGGCCGTGATGTACGCACGCGTCATCTTGTCGAGAGCCCAGTGTCCCAGCTCGGCGATCTCGGCGCGCGGCGTCCCTTCGATGGCTAGCTCCTGCGCACCTCCGGCGCGGGCGGCGTGCACGTTCCTTTTGCATAACACCTTGTTGGTCGTCCACATCTGCCGAGTCCAACGTTGGTGGCTGGCGGCGGAGAGCTCCTCTTGCTCCTTGTCTTTCTTGGCGAAGAAGAGATGCTTCTTGTACCAGCGTTCGCGTTCAGTGGTGTCAAGCGGCGGAAGGAAGTCGGTGCCGGAGAACTGACCGATCTGGTCGAGGATGAAGTGCAGCCACAGGCCGGTCTCGCCGACGGCGCACAACTCGGCTTCCAGGTGTCGCGCCGCGTAGCTCTGCTGAAGACGGGCATCCTTGGAAGTCTTCGAGTTACGCGCGGCGATCACCATGACGACAGGCTAGCTATCCGGGTTCACCGACGAGGTGCTCGCCAGGTGGTACAAGAAGACGTCGGGGAGCGTGATCTCGCGGATGCTGGCGCCACGCAGGAGAGAGTGGTGGGAGAGTAGCGTGAGCACCTTGACGAGCAGGAATCGCCACAGCGTCTGCGACGGAGTGGTTGCCCGCGGGTTCCACGCCGCCGCCGCCCATGTCGGCAGCACCCTCGTCATGATCTGGCGGAACTGCTCGGCGGTGTAGGTATCGCCGATTGTGCCGCGGCGACGGTCGGCACAATTCCTGAACGCACATAGGCGGGGAAAATGTATTAGACTGCGTCGACTTCACAGTGATGAAGACTGATGACTGAGGTGTCGACCAACTTACTTGATGTCCCTCTCGTTCTTGTTGTGGACGTTGAACCGCACCTCCGATCTGACCACCGAGATCTCCCTCATGATGCCCAGCTCCTTCTCTCGGTACAGCGTCGCCTCCACCCTCGCCGCCATCTGGCACGCCTTTATGCGCCCGAGGATCGTGTGCACCGTTGTCGACTGCACAGGCCCGGTTCGCGTGGCATTGTTCTCCTCCCCGGTCTGGTCATCAATGAGGTTACACTCACGGCTCATTTGCTTCACGTAGGCGCGCAGCCGGGTTTCGGTGACCCTAGGGCCGTGCAGCCAGATGTACTGTCGGCGGACCACTTTCTCGTTGCACCAATCCTTTTTCTTGTCATCGCGGATGTAGTGGCCGATCTCGTCGACGTGCCTAAGTCGCTGCTCATGGGGTAGCTTCTCGCGTATCTGCTTCAGCAACTTCGCCGCCCAACTCTTATAGTGGTAGATGAACGCGGTGTACAGCCTGAGCGTGCTATCCTTCTCCAAGCATTGTAGGTGGCGTAGGCCGTCCATGACGAGCACGTCGATGCTGGAGTACACCATGTCGTCCACTACAAAGTCTGTCGCCTTCCACTGTTCGCGTGACACCGCCATGTTCTGATTGTCCTCCTTCTCGTCCTGTTCGAGCATGTCATGTATGTATTCAAATTCCCGCCGAAGTCGTTCTTCCAGGGTGCGCGGATTCGTGCTACGCGGAGGACGCTCGTCGACTTCGTCGTCGCTCTCTTCCTCGTCGTCGTCGTCGTCGTCATCTTGGTTTTCCGCGCCGGCCGGCACCGACGAAGGTCCAGGCTGCCCATCTGACGTCGGAGTCGACTTCTTCGTAAACTCCCCTATCGGCGGTTTCGGTATGTCCTTGGTGTACACCCCTTCGGGAATCTGAGTCAATTTGTCAAGATCGTAAAGCAACTTCAGCGTCTCTTCGGTGGCAGTGGACGGACTGTGGTCGGTAGGGGTACCAACGTCGGCCATGACCGCTCGTATGTTGCTCTACCGCCGGCCGTGAAAGAGGGAAAGATTGGACCACCAGAGACGGTACTGAGCCACGGGTGCGGTGTACGCCCTAAGCGTACTGCGGCGGTCTTCCTCGAATTCCCTCTCAAGTGCTTCTAACTCCGCGTCGACCTCGAGTCGTTCCAGTTGCGCTTTGATGTCGGCGTCTACCGAATCGGCGGGGGGTGGGATAAGTTGCGGCTGTTGGGCACTAGGCCTTCCTCTGGCCATGCGTCGCCGACTCAGTAAGGTTGGGAGATGCTATCGTCGCCCTAATCTATTCGAACCCCTCCGACTTTCCGTGATGCCTTGCCTAGAACCTTCTAAGGCGAAGTCGACGACCAGTGGTCGACCTCAACACCGACCTAGGTCGTCTATTCCTGGTCGACGCGAGTGTGCCGACGAGCACGCCGTCTCGGCGATCGAGTAACCTACACGCGCAGAGACAGCGAGGGTCCGGTCAAGGTTACCAAGTGCCAGATGGCGCACAGCAGCATGAGAGAAACACGAAGCTGAACAGGCAGAATGAGAGCGTTGTCCGTGGTCAACGAGAGGTATGGTTGCGTGCGACTGCGCACCTGCCGCGCTCCACGCAGCCCTCTTTGCAAGCGCCGCTGTGCACGTGTATGACCTGTCACGATCGATGCATGTCTAGTGTCACGCCGCTCTGCGCTCAATGACACTCCCGCCGGTGCTTTGCCACGGTGGAATTCACACCCGACACGTGCTATTGACCAATCACCTAGTTACACTCTCCTGAAATGCAGTAGCGGCCTGCTTTCCCGCGCAAACCTTATCGACATGGGATGTACGCGCGTGGCATGAGGTTGGTCGACGCCGACATTCCCTGGGTCTGGGATTCTCTTCACCTAGACATGTTATGGTCCGCTCAGATTACGCCGCGTGGGTCGTGCTGCTGCGGTTGGATCTTCGGGCGACACCGACATTTCAATTTCCCGCTTTCGCTGGCTGTCTAGGTGGTCGACACCTGTACATGCCTCAGCCAATCGTATTTTGCCGCGTGGACGTTGGTGACATTTTTCATCGGCGCGCCCGCTTTCCCGCGCAGCCAAATATCGCCGATGGTGCGACGCGCGGCCACGTCGCCGCCGTCGTGGCACCTCTCGATTTTGCGATTAGATCTCGGTCGTTCCTAATAGACCACGTGGCAGCATTCGCGGCTCGTCGCTCTACGTGTCGAGGAGCGATGTCTTGTCCGCTGAGATGTCCTTCTCGGGTTTCTCTCAGCGAAACCCGAGGTCGTCAGGGTGTCGACATTCCCGAGGGCCGAAGGGGCCCGGAGGACTGCCAGGTCGCCCCAGTTTGCCACTCGGAGCTCGTCAGAGGTTCGTCAATCCCGAGGGGGTCCCTTGTCCTACCTAGAAGTTATCCCCAGAGCCATCGTCGTCGCTGCTCTGCTCACACTCACCTCACCACATCCCCCAATTCCTGTTCTTGCTTGTGCCTGACCGATGAACGGCCCTCCGCTAAGCAAACCGTCGCACACACAGCCTTCCAAAAATAGTAGTACAGTAATCGCCAGAGCTATCGTCGCAGCAGCTCACCACATCCCGTTCCAATAATTCACTACGATAGTATCGACACCGACGATGACTCATCGTAGTACGATGGCGCTGCAAGTTTTGAGAAGTCTCAGAAGTCCACATCCCGTTCCTATAATTCAGTACAATAGTACCGATGCCGACGACGACTCATCGTAGTACGATGGCGCTGCAAGTTTTGAGAAGTCTCAGAAGTCCCGTTCCTATAATTCACTACAATAGTACTGGCTGCAAGTTTTGAGAAGTCTCAAAAGTCCACATCCCGTTCCTATAATTCAGTACAATAGTACCGATGCCGACGACGACTCATCGTAGTACGATGGCGCGGCGAGTTTTTAGAAGTCTCAAGGTTAGGGCTATCGTCGTAACAGCTCACCATATCCCGTTCATATAATTCGCTGCGATAGTACCGACGCCGACGATGACTCATCGTAGTGCGATGGCGCGGCGGCTGTGTTTTGAGAAGTCTCAAAAGTCCACATCCCGTTCCTATAATTCACTACGATAGTACCGACGCGATGCCGACGATGACTCATCGTAGTGCGATGGCGTGGCGGCTGTCATGCTCGACTCGCGCTCATAACTCGCATCATAAATCACGAGTGCAGCTCCGTCAGATCCCAAAGCAAGCGTTTCCTTCTTCCATCCCTTTCATTCCACGACTCTCCTTCCGCTTCTGTGCTTGTTCTACGGTAGTACTCGACCATCCTTCCACTCGGCCATCCTTCCACTCGGCCATCCTTCCACTCAGGGACAGGCTGTCCTTCATCTCCCGGCTCCAAAAAAGAGCGTGTGATACGCCGGAGGGCCAACTTACTCACATTTGGAAGGGCAACTTATTTGGCTCCTCTTCCGCCGGCTTTCTGCCGCCTCTTCCGCCGCCTCTTCCTCGGGACAACCAGCATCATGGGGTCGATGCGCGCCTCTCCCGCCGGACTCCTGCTGCTCGCCATTGCCCTCATCTGTGGTCAGTCCGCCTTCTCTCATTTCTGCTCATCAGTCTGTTGCTCTCTCATCGTTGCCTTCTCTCATCGCTGGTCAGCCCGCTTCTCTCTCATTGCCTTCTCTCTCATTGTCTTCTCTCTCATTGTCTTCTCTCTCATTGCCTTCTCTCTCATTGCCTTCTCTCTCATGTCAGCAATGTCTCCCATCTGCAATCTCTTCCTCTCATTGCCTTCTCCTCCATTTCTGCAAAATCCTTTACATTCCTCTCTCATATCTCCGCTCTGCCCTCTCACATCTCCTGTCTGCCCTATCATATCTCCTCTCTGCTCTCTCATGTCTGCTCCCTCTCCTTTTCTCTGCACACCCTCTCCCTTGTCCTCTGCAGCAGTTCAGTTGATGCAGGCAGCAAATGGGGATGACGCAGCAAAAAGCATGACTCACCGCCCAGCCCACCGCAGCATGCTAAAAGACTCGTATGGAGAAAAGAAGGTTGCAGGGGAAGACACGGTGGTAGCAATAGCGAGCAGCAAGGTCAATGCAAGGATTGCGTTAGAGACCACCGACAGCACCGGCAGCACCGACAGCACCGGCAGCACGGACAGCACGGACAGCAGTGGCAGCACGGACAGCACGGACAGCAGTGGCAGCACTGACAGCACCGACAGTACCGGCAGTACCGACAGCACCGGCAGCAGCACCGGCCCCACTCCCAGTACCCGCGGTGTCGGTTCCAAGCCACAGTTTACCACTACCGTGGCTGTGGGCAAGGCTCGGGTGAGCTTCGGCAGCCAGCGCTGCGTGGCCGTGCCGAAAAAGGCGCGGGGGAAGAGCGCGCAGGTGTGGTGGAACGGCCGGGGGGGATCGAGCAGCAAGGCAGCAGGTTTCGCTTGCACGCGAGTCAAGTTCTTTGGGAAGGGCGGCTGCCAGGGCAGGGAGCTTGATAGCATGGTCAACCCGGGCTCTACTACTGCCAAGTGAGTGGTGGGGGTGTTTGTTTGGTTGTATGGCCGTGTGTGAGGCACGGCGAGAAGACACGAGTAGTGGATGACCTTGGGAGGGGAAGGGAGAGGCAGGGAGGCGAGGGGAGAGGAAGGGAAGGGAAGGGAGGGGCAGGGATGGGAGGGCAGGGGGAGGGCGGGGAAGCGAGGGAACACAATAAGCATGTTATCATCTCTTGTGCTTCCGCTTGCACGCCCTTTCAGGTTCCCAAGCAACAAGAAGACGCTCAGCAAGTGGGCGCCTCAAAAGCCATTTCTTGTGCTTCCTCTTGCCACGCCACGCCCTTCAGGTTCCCAAGCAACAAGAAGACGCTCAGCAAGTGGGCTTCAGTGGCCTCGGTTCTCTGCACCGATGCTCCCTGTGACGCGCTGGGCTGTCAACCCGGTGGCAAATGCGTGGTGGATGAGAACGGCGAGCGCTACTGCAAGTGGGGTGAGTGAGCATGGTGTTCCCACTTCTCCACTCTCTCAACTCAGCTCAGCCATTCATCTATCAACCCCGTGCCATCCAACCAACCCCATTCTTCATGCTTTTGTACATATTTCGAGGCCACAGCTTACTGCCAACTTTTTCAGCCTCATGCTCCCAACCCATGAGAGTGAGAGTGCATGATTTTTGTCTTCCTGCCAGCCTTCCTCCTTTCCCTCTCGTTTCTTTGGAGGCGCACTCCTCCACCAGCATTCCTGCAGTCCTTAAGCCCTGAATTCTTATTTTCGGGTTCCTAAACAGCTCGTTTCTTTGGAGCCTCGCTCCTCCACCATCATTCTCCAGACCCACCGCACTCGCCCTTGCTCCTCCCTCTCCCTTGCGTCTCCCTTTGCATTCTGCCTTCCTCACCCTCACCCTGTGCCGCCTGCCCCTCTGGTGCCTCAATTCCCCACTAACATTGCACTCACATACCGCACTGCACCCATCCCCACCCCTCAGACTCACCCTGTGGCGCCTGCCCCACTTGAGCAACCTGCAAGACCGTGCCTGCGACTGACGAGCCTTCGGTGCAGGTGCCTTACTGCGCGTGCCGTAAAGGCTATGGGATAACCGCGACCAAGTGTGTTAAGGGTGAGATTGTTTGACGTTTTCTCGCTCTACTCTCCACCCTCTCTTCTTCGCATTCTCCCCACTCTCCTCTCCCCTCAATACTCGTTGCACTCCCCTCTCGCACCAATCTCTCCTCTCCCCTCTCGCCCCACTCCCTCCTCTCCCCTCTCGCCCCACTCCCTCCTCTCCCCCACACGTCCCACCCTCTCCTCTCCCCCACACGTCCCACTCTTTGTTTCACTTTTCTCGCTCTGCCATGTTGGGAGAACAGATGCTGCTGCTTAAAGTTGATGGTAATGCATGTATGTATGATTGTTGATGGCATATGCTCGCAGACGAGCAACGCGCTGAGTCCTTCCCTGTGCCACTCTTTCTCAGGTGGAGCTTCCACCGCCTCTTCTAACAGCTACACCGTCATCGCAAATCGAACAGCCAATGACAACTCTTCTCGGCCCCTCACCTTCCGCACTAACGTGAATAGCTGCACCCAGCTCCCGGAAGCATTGGCTGGGGAGGGCGCAACACTGTATGGAGTTCTGAACACTGATGATGCTCCAGGTCTCTCCAGCTGCAAAGTCTATTCAGCCGACAATTGCGAAGGCGCTAGTAACGATGACGAAATTTCGGCCGGACCCAATCCGTTGTTTTATGCAGCTTATGCACCGTAAGTGATTGACCGTTTTCCGCCCTCCCCTCGCACCTGCACAACTTCTCCACTTCCCTCTTTGAACCAATCACCCGCACAACTCCTCCAATTCCTTTTTTAAACCAATCACCCGCACAACTCCTCCAATTCCCTTTTTGAACCAATCACCCGCTCAACTTCTCCACTACCCTTTTGTAGCCAAGTTCTCCCCTGTCATCTTACCGTATCTTTGTCCTCCCTTGTTACCATCAACCAGGGACATGCCAGATCCGATGCCTTACCGCTCAGCGTGGTGCACTCAGTAGGATGACTAGGACAGCTGGCTGGCTTGGCTGTGCTTTCATCTGCACATGCTCATTCTCCCCTCCACTCATTGCAAACCCTTTCCCAATTCACTCAATAAATACCCTTCTCCCCTCATCTCAATGGAGATCCAGTGAGAATGCTCCAGTAGAAACCCAGTGTAGAACCTTCTTTCTTGCCGACATTTGCGCTTGCCCAAGGAATAGCACTTTAGAACGTTTACAAAAAGAGTCGTAGGATGCGAATGCGAAGCCTAATCACGTGTACAAACAGAGAAGCGTTGTGGGTAGATTGGATTATCATGAAACAAATCATGACCACAAATACCGTACAATCAGGCCTCTCTTTTGAACGAAAGCCGAAGAATCTTCCCCACGAAAGATGCTGCCAGCCTGCCACAGCCCGAAGCTTTTCATTCGGGGATTTTCTCACATTTTGCAAGAGCCGCTTTGGTGAGGCACTACCACCGGGATTGCATGCATTTGCGGTGCGCTGCACGCCTATCATTCCCATCACATTCTATCAGACCTCTCTCTCTTAAAACCAGGGTGCACATTCAACGCGGTTCGGCTTGAGATGTTGGGAAGGGGGTTTGGAGAAAAACAGTGATTGGCTCACGAGGGGCGACAAAAAAATGATTCCGCTAGAGCTTCGGGCATTTCGTAGGTGGCGGGAGGGGGTGAAATGGCGGGAGTGGGTGAAACCGAATGGCGGGAGGGATGAAACAGATTGGCGGGAGGGGGGGGAAACGAAATTGCGGGGGAGGGGGGAAACGAATTTCGCCGGGGAGGGGGAAATGAAATTGCGGGGGCGTGGGGAAACGAAATTGCGGGGGAGGGGGGAAACGAATTTCGACTTGAAGGGGTTGAAAGCACACCTCGTAACCCACTCAGTCAAGGGATAACCTTTGATGCACATTCAGCTGAATGTGCACCCCGGTTTTAAATGAAAGGCGCAGAATCTCCCCAAGGGAAGATGCTGCTGCAGCCCGAAGCTTTTCATTCGGAGATTTCTTCAAGAGTTGAGAGAGCGCTTTCGTGAGAGGCACCGGGATTGCAAATGCAACACCGGAAGGAGGCAATGCACTGCTCGATGCGCTGGGCCTTGACGAATCAGATGCGGCCCCGCAGCCCCCCGAGCGGTTTTCAGCGACGAATTGGATGAGGCCGGTGAAGAGGGATATTGCTGTGAGCTTGATGGAGTCTGAGGGGTGGGACAGTGCCTGCAGAGGGGAGAGGAGAGGGAAAAGAGGGGGAGAAGGGGAGGGGTCGTGTTTTCAGCAACGAATTGGATGAAGCCGGTGAAGAATGAAACTGCTGTGAGCTTGATGGAGTCTGAAGGGTGGGAGAGTGCCTGCAGAGGGGAGAGTAGAAGGGAGAGGGGAGGGAGGGGGGAGAATGACTTAGAGCTGACGCAAAAGTCGAATCGGATGAGGCTGTGAAAAACGAGATTGCTGTGAGCTTGACGGAGTCTGAGGAGTGGGAGAGTGCCTGCAGAGGGGAGAGGAGAGGGAAAAGGGGGGGGAGAAGGGGGGTGGAAGGGGGAGGGGCCGTTTCCGCCGACGAATTGGATGAGGCCGGTGAAAAAATGATATTTCTGTGAGCTAGATGGAGTCTGAGGGGTGGGAGTGCGCCTGCAGAGGGGAGAGGAGTGGGGGAGGGGAGAAGGCGGTGAGGGGTGGGGGGGAGGTGGGGGAAAAAGGTTGGAGAGGATACCCTGAGACAGATCTGTTGGTGTACTCAGAGGTGCAAGAGTTTAGGGTTTAGAAAACATGGGGCGGATGAGTATGGAGGCTACAAATATCAAGTGTGTGTGTGTGTGTGTGTGTGTGTGTGTGTGTGTGTGTGTGTGTGTGTGTGTGTGTGTGTGTGTGTGTGTGTGCAATACACTGTGATGGGTACTCACTTCCAATGCGAACCCAGTGTAAGCGTCGAAACTCGTTACAAAGTCATGTGAGAGGAACTGGTAGAAGCTCCTGGTGAAGAGACCCGATTCCCTGAAACACATTAAAGAGGGAAATCGTACCAGCGGAGAGATAGTTTAGATTTGAAGAGGGCATCAGTAACACACACATGAGCATTGAATACTTGAGAGCAGGGCATTCGAGGGGGAGAGGGTAGATGAAGGGAAGGAGGCATGGGGTGATCGAACAAAGGACACACGAAAGAGGACAACGTCGTTGCCAAACACCACTTTTTTTTTTTTTTTTCTCTCTCTTCTTTAAATTTATTGTTTTCTTTAAGCGTACAACTGTCTTTGGTGGTTGGTGGAGGGATGGTAGTTGGGTTTCTCATTTTGCAAAAATGCCATCATTCCGTCCCACATGTGAAGAAACAGAAAAAACTTCAACACCACATGACTCAAACTCCACTGAAATGAATCTCTTGAAGGGGTGAGATTCCTCTGCACTCACAACAACGGTTGGTGGGTGCACTCAGTGCTTTGTTCGGACGAAAGTAGCCGAGCCAGGCAGAAAGAGGAAGCCTGCCGTATGAGCGGGAATGGGAGAGAGAGTGAGACATAGTTTTGGAACGACTCAATACTCATGTGGACCGGGGGGAGAGTGATGGAAAAGACAATATTCCCACATGCTTCATGCACGAGGGAGTGGGGTGAGGTGTTAACTACATGCACAGGTGTGAAAACGCACAGGAGAACAGGAGCATGAATAATTAGATGCTAGCATTGGTCGATTCAAATGATACCTTGCATGCACTTGTGACTAGGTCCGGTTGATGCGCCGACAAGAACCAGAAGGTTGCCATTGTCTCCCGGACCTGAAGAACAGGCTCGGCATGCAGTCACAGCAAGACACCAGACCACATGGTTACGTACGTTGTGTGAGCAAAACGAGTTTCACATTCAGTGTGCAAAGCAATCAGCGTAAAAAAGCAAAGCAGGCAGGCTGAAGCAGAAACTGACACGCAGAAGGAGACAGGCATGTGATGCGCATTGAAAAGCTAGCTTTGGAATCAGAGTGTAGACGAACGATGCAATACCCTTGACGTTCTCAAAACAACAGAAATAGGGCAGGAACACAGGAAAGACGAAAAGATTGTAGTGATTCCACTAGCACTGCTCGCCTAAGTCTTCATGGCTGACAGAAATAAGGCAGGAATACAGGAAAGACGAAGAGATTGCAATGAAGAGAACGGATGAGCAGGAGTGAGTCATCCTACCCACCTCGGGTTGAAGATCCTGCCGCTCCAAGCTGGAACATTCTGCACTGCTTGCTGTGGGCTGCTCCGTGCACTCATCCCCACTGCTGGGCTGCTGCTGCTGCTGCTGCTGCTGCTGCTGCTGCTGCTGCTTCAGGAGATTGTTTGCCAACGCGCCTGCCATCCACGCTGCTGCAGCCTGGGCCTGGGGCGCACGGTCCTTCTGGAAGGAGCAAGGGGAGAGGAAGTGAGAAGTAAGAGCGTTGCCAAGCCTGTTTGCCAACGCGCCTGTCATCCACGCTGCTGCAGCCTGGGCCTGGGGCGCACGGTCCTTCTGCAAGGAGGAATGGAGGGGCGGTGAGAAGAGGTAAGAGTGCTGCCAAGCCTGCTCGCTAATGCGCCTGCCTGCCATCCATGCAGTTGTGGCAAGATGAAGCAAGAGGGGCCTTTGGGTTACGACCCCTCTGCAAACAGAAAGATGTAGCATGCTATTATATGTATATACATTTAGGGGTTTAGATATTAAAAAGAAAAAAGAAAAAAAAAGAACCTTTTTTTTTCTCCTTCTGGAAAGACTCTTACCAAAGGGTCCATTCCTTACCATGATGGCTCGCGCTGATTGGAGGATGGTGGCCGCTGGCAGCGCCTGATTGGCTAGGAAGTCGCACTGGGAGAGACACTGAGGGACGTGATGTGAATGGGCAGGGCGGGGAGAGTGGTGGGGGGAGAGAGGGAAGGGAGGGGAAGGGCAGGAAAGGGAACAAAGAGATGGGATATGATGGGAAGCTGCAGTGGGAGAGACACTAAGGGATGGACGTGGTGTGATGGGGCAAGGAGGGACACTAAGGGACAGGCATGATTCTATGTGCTTAAATGCCACTGCCACATGGCATATGCTATATGCTATATGCCATGTGCCATGTGCCGTATGCAACATGCCACATGCCAAATTTCATACCTGGTGTGTGCAGATGGCTGCAGCGAGTGAGACCATGGCGCTTGGGTCTTGCAGAGAGAGAGCAGCAGAGAGCAGCAGAGTGCAGCAGACGTGCAATGATGAATGACTGCAATGTGCCAGTTGCCATGTGTCATGAGCCATGGGCCATGTGCCAGTTGCCATGTAATGTGATGCCATACCTGGTGCGTGCAGATGGTAGCAGCGAGAGAGACCATGGCGCTTGGGTCTTGCAGGGAGAGAGCAGCTGTTGAAAGAATGCGATGAGCCACGGAGGAGGGTGGGGACGAGGAGGACAGGGGCTGCTGTAAGGAAGGACGGGAGAAGGGAAGGAGTGGGGACGGGGGTAATGTATTAAGTAACAATGCGCTAAGAGCCTTCTAAAAATCGAGTTGCAAACAAGTTTTGCAGCACTGTGTTCAAGGTGCGATGGGGAGGGAGACAGAGGCTGGGTGGAGATAATGTGATCCGCCACAGAGGGGTACGTGTAGGTGTGAGGCGGTGTGAGGAGGTTTGCGGAGGTGTACAGAGGTGTGCAGAGGTGTGCGGAGGAGTGTGAAGGTGTGCGGAGGTGTGTGCGGGCAGCAAAGGTCTGGTGCGAAACTAGTTACCTTCGATAGTGTTAGCAGGACGACAGCTCGAGCAGCAGAGGAAGCTTCCTGGAAGCGCTCCAGCTGCCATGCAATTGTCGCCTCCAAATCAGAACCGTCCTTTCTGCAAGACGGAGGAGGCAGAAGATCACCGAGCCAAAAAGGATTGGAGGGTGGGTCTATGAGTACACCGAACAATTCTACCCCTGTTCTACCATATGCATGTTGTATTGCAGACATTACAACACTTTCTGCAAGACGGAGGAGGCAGAAGATCAGTGCTGGAAACGATTGGTGGGCGGGTGGGTCTATGAGTAGACTGAAAGATCAGATGAGCGGTGTCCTTTCAGGACGCCACATTTGAGAAAGGTGGCGTCCTGAAAGGTGAACCTCTCAAAAGTGACTCCCAAATGAGCAGTGTCCTTTCAGGGATGACACGGAGGCAGTGGGGAAGAAGATTGGGCGGGACTGTAACGTATGTGTATATGGTGCTCCATTATCTCCATACCACGCTCACGGCATGGCATGGCATATGAAGAGCAGCCTCTGTGACGTGCATGTCCAGATGCAGTGATGCATGTGTGTATACGTTGCTCTATGTATGCAAGTTATGCATGCATGTGTGTATACGGTGCTCTATGTATGCAAGTTATGCATGCATGTGTGCATGCTGCTCACTTACCTCCACCCCACGCTCATGGCGTGGCATATGAGAGCAGCGTCTGTGATGGACTTGTATACACTAGCACACTCCACGGCTTGGGAGAGAAACGCCTCAACAGAGAGCACCTGGGACAGGCAAAGAGGTAGGGAGAGGGGGTGGGATAGGGCACAGCTGTTCAACGAGAGCAGTGTCTTTGATGTACTTATACACACTCGCACACTCCGCAGCCTGGGCGAGAAACGCCTCAACAGAGAGCACCTGAGGCAGGCAGAGGGAGGGAGGGAGGGAGGGAGCGAGGGAGGGAGGGACAGGGCACAGCCATTCATACGAGAGCAGCGTCTGCGATGTACTTATACACACTCGCGCACTCCACGGCTTGAGTGAGAAACGCCTGAACGGACACCACCTGAGGAAGGCACAGAGAGGGAGGGAAGGAGGGATAGAGAGGGGCACAGCCCTTCATATGTGAGCAGCATCGGTGATGTGCCTGTATACACACTCGCGCACTCCACGGCTTGGGAGAGAAACACATCAACGGACACCACCTGCAGTGGGACACACAGGGAGGGCAACACAGGGAAAGAACAGCTGTGTAGGGGAGCAGCGTCTGTGTGATGTGCTTGTACAGTCTAGCGCACTCACGGCTTGGGTGAGAAACGCCTGAACAGATACCATCTGCAGTGGGGCAGAGGGAGGGCGAGATGGGGAGCGCACGGCTGTTCAAAGGAGCAGGGACAACGTTGTTTTGAGGCGCCTCAAAACTAGCAGCACTGATAATGCACAACAAACACTTTCACATGCTGCAGCTTGTCCCTCCCCCTCTCCCCTCTCTCCCTCTTTCCTTCCTCCCTCCCTCCTTCCCCCTCCCTCCCTGCCCGTCCCCCCTCTCTCCTCATCACCGTATTGCACCTCATGCCACCCCTCAATTAGCATGGCCTTCACGAGGCCGCCACCACTCCACACGGCACCGACAGCTGCCCCACTGTCGCATCAATCCCGCTATTCCCTCTCCCCTCCCTCACTACGCACCTCATCACCCTGCTCCCCCACAGTCAGCATGGCTCCCACAAGGGCCGCCACCAGCCTGCAAAGCACCGACAGCTGCCCCACTGTCACGTCGATTCCACTCCTCCCATTTTTTCTGTTACCCTCCTCCTGAATCACGTTCTCGGGTGCGAAGGTCTCGAGGGCCTGGGGTCAGGGGAGTGGAGGGAGGTGTCATGTCAATCCCGCTCCTCCTGACTTTGCAGGTGCTCCCCTTCTGTTGTTCCCTCCTGAATCACGTTCTCGGGTGAGAAGGTTTCGAGGGCCTGGCGAGAGGGAGGTGTGCGGAGGGGGGTGCAAAGATTCCGAGGAGAGGTGATTTAACACGGATTCTGAAAATAAAGAAAAGGGAAAAAATAAGGAAAACAAGAAATCGGAACACACTGAGTTCCAAAGGAGAATGCATGGGGGTTTTCAAGCAAAGGAACACGCTGAGAAGTGAGAAGCATTCCTGGATGAGCGGCTGGTGGTCGAAGTGACTCCTGAGTCGACTCCCAGTCCCATGTCACCTGGGTGGGTTTCATATGGTGAGAAGCGTACCTCGATGAGCGGCTGGTGGTCGAAGAATTGAGCCACCGAGCGCAGAACGCCATACACCAGCCTGCACGGTGGGATAGATAGAGCGGTGCAGAGTGGTGCGGATAGAGTGGTGCAGAGTGGTGCAGATAGGTTCGAACAGATATGTGTGGTGATGCACAGGAGGAGCATACGCGAGGAACAGCAAAGGAAGGAAATGAGGCAAAAGAAGGTCCGTCCACTTGACAGCAAGTGAGTTTATAAGCTTGCCTTGAGCCAGTTTCCCCACAAGAACAAGACTGAGAGGCTGAGAGAGAGCACGTCAAATAACAAGGCTGAGAACCGGGCTGAGAGCAAGGCACAAAGAGGCATGGGACCCACAGAAAAGGGTCACTGGACCACAGCCCTCCATTTGCTGCCGTGATGGCATTGTTGGTCCTCTTGCTGAGCGGGCCCTTGGAAGCAAGGGCAGCCTCGGGGTGAGAGGCGATGGTGAGAGCAACAAGGCACAAGACTGAATGAACCCACACAGGACTAGCTCACTCACAGGAAGGGGTCGTTAGACCACAGGCCTCCTTCAGGTGCCGTGATGGCATCGTTGATCCTCTTGCTGAGAGGGCCGTTGGGGCCGAGACCGAGAGCAGCCTCGGGTGGTGAGAGGCGGCAGTGAGAGCAAGGGGATAGTGGAGCATCGAACTCACAGGAAGGGGTCGCTGGACCACAGCCCTCCGTGTGCTGCTGTGATGGCGTCGTTCTTTCTCAACGGGCCAGTGGGGGAGAGAGCAGCCTCGGGTGGTGAGAGGCGGCAGTGAGAGCAAGGGGATAGTGGAGCATCGAACTCACAGGAAGGGGTCGCTGGACCACAGCCCTCCGTGTGCTGCTGTGATGGCGTCGTTCTTTCTCAACGGGCCAGTGGGGGAGAGAGCAGCCTCGGGTGGTGAGAGGCGGCAGTGAGAACAAGGGGATAGTGGAGCATAGGAGGTGACTTTTGAGTCGACTCAAAAGTCACCTCGAGGCGACAGTGAGAACAAGCGGATAGTGGAGCATTGAACTCACATGAAGGGGTCGCTGGACCACAGCCCTCCTTCAGGTGCCATGATGGCATCGTTGATTCTCTTGCTGAAAGGGCGGGAGGATGCCAGAGCAGCCTTACCTCCCTGCCTCTGCATGCGAGGCAGTGGTGGTGATGGTGAGAACACGGCAAACGGGCACAAAGGGGCAGCTCACTCACAGGAAAGGGTCGCTGGACCAGAGGCCTCCATCTGCTGCTGTGATGGCATCGTTGATCCTCTTGCTGAGGGGACCGGTGGAGGAGAGTGCAGCCTCCGGGTGGGAGGCGATGGTGTCAATGGCGAGAGCACAGAGCAGTAGGTGCAGGGTGTGGACTGTGGGGATGGTGTAGGGCAGTGCTGCTTCCTTGAGGTTGGGTGATGGGTGCCTGATGGGGAGAGAGAGAAGGGAAGCCGGGACAGAGAGGGACGGAGAGAGGGAAGGTGAGAGTAGCCTTGAGTGGGAGGCGACGGTGTCGATGGCGAGAGCAAAGAGCAGCAGATGCAGGGTGTGGACGGTCGGGATGGTGTAGGGTAGCGCTGCTTGCTCGAGATCGTGGGACGGGTGCCTGCAGGGAAGAGGGAGGATGGAGGAAGCAACAACGAAAGGGGGTAAGAGGCGATGGTGTCGATGGCGAGAGCGCGGAGCAGCAGGTGTAGGGTAGTGCTGCTTGGTTGAGTTTGGCAGAAGGGTGCCTGCCCTGCCACCCCTCCCCACCCTCCCCACCCTCCCCACTCTCCCCACCCTCCCCACCCTCCCCAGACTCCCCAGACTCCCCACTCAACACTCCTTACACCGCCGTTTTGAAGTCGCGTTACAATAACCCTCACCTGAGCATGATCCCAAGAGTTCGAATGGCAGCCTTAGAGCCAGAGGAGTAGATGAAGGGCTTGCCTGCACTCCCCACGCCACACTCCCTGCCCTCCCTCCCACACTCCTCCCACGCCTCACCTGAGCATGATCCCAAGCATTCGAATGGCTGCTTTGGAGCCAGACGAGTAGATGAAGGGCTTGCCTGCACTCCCCCCACTCCCTGCACTCCTTGCCCTTCCTGCGTTTGAGGCAGCGGCAACCATAGCAGCTGCAACTGTAGCGCTTGGATCAAAAGTGAGCGAAGCGGTGGCAGCACCAGCAGCAGCAGCAGCAGCAGCAGCGCCGGCAGCAGCAGCTTCAGATACAGCTTGCCCCAGCTGTGCCTGTTCCGCTGCTGCTGATGCAGCAGACTCGTCCTGCCGCCCCTCTGTTAGAACGCCTGCTGCTGCTGCTGCTGCTGCTGCTGCAACCCGTGCTACTCCAGCCCCTTCTGGCTCTGCTGACTCCTCACCCCCTAGCTGCTGCACCAGCGATTGTGGCTGTGCTGCTTGACGCAAGTTGGCCAAACCAATCGGATCGAAGCCAGGAATGAGCTTCGGCAGAAGCAGGTGGAACAGCTGAGGGCCCAGCGAGGGGTGCCGAGCGATCTCCTGCAGCGAGAGGGAGGGTGAAAAGGAGGCACAGGGAGGGTAGGAAAAGCAAGTGTGGGAGAATAGGAACCAGCCAGGACAACCGGGTTGTTGACGCCAGGGATGAGCTTCGGCAGAAGCAGGTGGAACAGTTGAGGCCCGAAGGAGGGGTGCTAAGAAATCTCCTGCAGAGAGAGAGAGGGGCGCCAAGGGAAGAAATGGTAGGCACCGGCAGCAATGGTTGCATTGTTGAAGACTTAGTTTGGAACCATTTCATACCGCAGAATACTGCACCATACCGCACCGCACCCTTTTGCACTACCTCCCCACTCCACACCATCGCACCCACCGCACCGCTACAAGCTCTTCAAGCGCCGGCAGCTTCCCAGAAGTTTCTTCCACATGTTGTAGCACACAGCGGAACAGGGCAGCGGGGTCGCAGGAAGCCGCCAGAGAGCAGACCTGCCATGGATTAGGGTTTGACGAATTTGGCAGGGTGGGGAACTCTTACATTGACTCAAACAGCCCACCTACCAAACTTGCTAGACTGCATGTGAATTGAATTTGAATCACGTGAGATCGAAGCACGCACGCACCGCAGCAAAGGCAGGCAGGCGGGCTGAGCGGTAGTGACACCCAAGCGACGCCGCAACAATGCGTTCGATGATCCTCCCCGCCCTGCCCTGCTGCTCCTGCTCCTGCCACTCCTGCTTCTGCCGCAGTTCCTGCTGCAGCAGCTGCTGCGTTGTGCCGTGTGCTGGCTGCTCTGAGCCCTCCTCAGCCTCAGACTCTCCCTGCTGCAGCTGGTGGCCTCTGAGAGTAACGATTCGGAGGACTGCGTCCATGCACCGGCTTACCACACTCCCCACGTACTCACACTCCGCTGCTGCTGCACCCTGCAAGTGATCAGGGTCGCTGGACCCTCTGCCCCCTCTTCCCGTGCTTGCCGCTCCTGGTTCTGCGAGGTTTCCCATGCGGCTGCAGATGTGGCTGAAGGAGTGTTGGTGGAGTTGGGGGAGTGACCAGCGCAAGTGATGTGGAGAAACGCGTCTGCTGCCAGCAGTAGCACTGCAAACTGGGGGGGGGAAGGGGCAAGCAAGGGTGGATGGATAGAGAGGTGACAGGTTGATGGTGAGGTGGTTACCAGGTAACATGGAAAAACGCGTTTGCTGCTGCCAGCAGTAGTACTCCCACCAGGGGAGGAGAGAGGCAAGGGGTAGAGTACGTGGTTCAATTCATGGTAACATGGTTACCAGAAGTATGCTGCCTGTGAGTAATAGCAGTGCCACTTGGTGAGCAAGACAGGGAGCTGAAAAACTTCCCTCTTCCACATAGCTCCTCACTTCATTACTCCTCATCTCATAGACCAGGATGACATCATCAGCATTGCAGACCAAGCAACGTCCGAGTTGACTTTTGAGTCGACTCAAAAGTCAACTCAATTTGAGTCGAATCCAAAGACTCCTGATCTCTTGGACCGGGATGACATCGGCATTGCAGTCCACGCAACGTCAACTCTAAACGCTAAACCAGTGCCCATCGCTCCCCTGCCTCCTCTTCAATCCACACACACAACAAGCATCATAATATCTCAAATTTCGCCTCACCTCATCTGGCACATGTAGAACGCCAAACAGCTGTACCCATCGCTCTTCTACCTCCTTTACAATACATGCACACAACAAGCTATCATACACTTCACACATCCCCGCTCGCCCTCACCCCATTTGCTGTCAGCACATGCGCAGCTCACTCCACTCCACAACACCGTTAAACAGCACTGCTCGTCGCTCCTCTACCCTCTCCCTAACACAAACAGATACGACACACACCATTCCCTTCACATTGTGCCCTCACCTCATCTGCCGTCAGCACAAGTGCAACACACTCCACAGCAGAGTCAAACAGCAACGTTCATCTCCCATCTACCTCTCCTCTTATACATGCACACATACCTCATTTCCTTCACGTTTTCCCTCTCGCCCTCACCTCATCTGCCGTCAGTACATGTGCAACACACTCCACAGCAGAGTCAAACAGAACTGCCAGTTGCTCCTCTGCCCCCTCCAACATCCCAACCTGCAGGGTGAAGGGTGGAGCAGCAACAGGGTGAGGTGGAGGAATAGCGTGTGTGTGTTTCTGAGTTGATGCTACGGGCAGTTAAGGGGAGGTGCTTCAGAGACAGACACCCCATGTGGCTGACGTGGAAAAAACTATGAGAAGAACCAGGAAGACCAGAAGACGCATGGCATTGTGCCGCCCACCCATCCTCACTATAAGCGCTCCCACCTCATGCAACGCTGCAGGCACTGCAGGCACATAGTAGTGCCCACCCCATCCTCGCTACAAACATCCCCACCTGATGCACACATACTATGATACTAATACCGCCCACCCCATCCTCGCTATAAGCTTCCCCACCTGATGCGACGCTGCTGCAGAGACCTTCGCTTCCAGAGCAGCAAGGAGGGCGGCGTAGGTCGGTTGAGAGGGGGAATTGGAGGAAGGAGATTCAGAAGAAGCGCTGGGACCAGCAGCAGCAGCTGCTGTTGCTGTTGATGCTGCTGGTTGCTCCTCCTGCTGGCTGCTGGTTTCGGTGGTTTCCTCTAATTGGTGGGTGGCCGGGTGAGTGGAGACAGGCAGAGAGGAGGAGGGAGAGGCGGGCGGGGAATGGACTGACTCTGATGAAACCTCAGGTGGGTTGTCAGGTGAAACGCAGGAGGCCTCAGGTGGAGAGGAGAGGGCGACAGCTGTGGTTAGGAGTAACAGAACAATCTGGTGGGATGAGGGGAGTGGGTGGCAGGATGGCAAGTTGACAGATTGGTACAATGGCAGAATGACAGATGGGCAAAAAACTAGAATGGCAGGGAGTAAGATGATCGGAAATCGGGGCGAGGCGCAAGACAGAGGAGAGCGAGAGGAAGCGAAGAAGGGGAGGAGCGGAGGTGGACAGGGAGGAATGCAGCGGGTTAAGAGGGAGGAAAATTACCTTGCAGCCGAGCAGTTGCAGTGTGGGGTCGGCATTGGCACAGAAGGGAAGAACGACAGCCACGTGATGCCCGAGATTGAGAGACGGGCGTGATGGGGGGGGTTGCTCTGAAAAGACAAGGGGAGGGGAGGTTGGTGGGACGGGAAGGGAGAGAGGAAGCAAGTATTGAGATGTCTCAAAACTCGACGGCCACGTGGTGGCCAAGATTGAGAGAGGGGGGCGCTGGGAGGGGTTCCTCTGAGAAGAGGGGGGGAGGTTGGTGCGAAGGGGGGGAGGAAGCTGAGAGAGTGCGTTGGTACATACGGGCAGAACAACAGCCACGTGATGGCTGGGATTGAGAGAGGGGCGCGCTGGGAGGGGTTGCCCTGAGAAGAGGGGGGGAGGGTGATGGGAAAAAGGGGGGGGGAGCAGAGAGCGTGCGTTGCAGTGAATCGAAAGTCGCTTGGCACAGAAGGGCTGAGACTGAGCGACGGGCGTGCTGGGGGTGGGGTGGGCGTGCTGGGGGTGGGGTGGGCGTGCTGGAAGGGAAGGGAGAAAGGAGGGGAGGCAGAGAGAGTGTTATGAAGTGACTTAAATCGAAACACGATGGTGCCGAATGCACCATGAAGGGAGGAATGTTGCACTCTCACAACTGGAATGGACACACGTTGCATCGTTACCTTGCTGTGTTTCCATGTACCGCACTCCACCGCTGCTGGGCGCAAGGAACCCACGCACGTCTTCCTTACAGCCAACCCGGCAAACCCTGCTCTCCAATTGCCAGCACATGGAACTGAGCACACACTGCAAGTCACCCCGTCGCTAGCGCACACGCCTTACCTTGCTGTCTTTCCATGTACCGCACTCCACCGCTGCTAGCTTCGAGAAAACCGCGTACGTCTTCCTGACAACAACCCGGCAGCCCTTGCTCCCCAAGCGCCAGCACATGGAACTGGGCACACACTGCCAGGTACGTCGTCACTAGAGCACACGTCTTGCCTTACCTTGCTGTCTTTCGGTGTACCGCACTCCACCACTGCTGGCCGCAAGGAACCCACACACTTCTTCTTGACAACAGTCTGGCAGCCCTTGCTCCCCTAGCGCCAGCACATGGAACTGGGCACACACTGCCAGGTATGCCGTCAGAACCCTCTGCTGTGACAATGCCACTACCTCCACTGCTGATGCTGCTTCCGCCTCTCCGGTTCCTCTCTCCTGTTGCCCCAATCCTTCCCTTCCCCCCTCTCCTCCCTCTCTTCCCTCTCCGTCCTCTCCTCCTCCTCTCTCCCCTCCTCCTGCTGCACCGCCCAGGTTTGATTTTCCTCTTGTCCGGGGGCCAGGGCTCCCTGGCTGGCTGCCAGGCTTGCTGGAAGGCCGGCTGCTGGGCTTACTACCAGGCTTGCTGCCTGCTTGGGTTTGAAGCGGTGCTGCTGGGTTGGGATGGGTGCTACTGGGTGGAGTGGTGTTTGACGGGAATGCAGAGGATAGGAGAGTGGTGGGGTTGAGGGCTGAGGGTAGGTGGGAGGAGGGCTGGGGAGGAGGAGGGGGTGGGAGGAGGAGGGAGAGGAGGGGGCGGAGAAGGGAGAGCATGATCTGCAGCTGCTCCTCTTCCTCCTTGCTGTCCCCATTGCTGCGCGAAGAGAGAGGAAAAACAAAGAAATGAGGAGATGGAAAGTGGGTTGTTTGTTGGCCAGGCATGTGGTGGCATATGATAGCTAATTGGATGATTTGCAGCAGCTCCTCTTTCTCCTTGCTATCCACATTGCTGCGAGAAGAGAAAGGGATAGATAAGAGGGGTTAACAATTTAGGCCTGCTATGAGTGAGTGACTGCAATTTTGTGTAAATCAAACCATGCAAACGGATGCTTGTACCTGTTCTAGCCCATCTCCGTAGCAGCTCACCTCATCTGCAGTCCTTTAAATCTGACTGCATTTATGTGTGGGTAAAAAGTGCAAACGGACGCTTGTATCTATTCTCATAACCCATCTCATCTGTAGCAGCTCACCTCATCTGTAGCAGCTCACCTCATCTGTAGCAGCTCACCTCATCTGTAGCACGCTACACAGCAGAGAGATGACACTGACAGCCAATGGACCAATTGGCTGCTTCCGCCTTCCCCTCCTCTCCCTCTCAACTGTCCTCCTCCCCCTCCTCTTTCTCTCCCCATCTTCGTCACATTCACTCTCACTGTCCGATCCACTTGAGCTAGACCCCTCTGACTCCTCCCTCCCCTCTCCTCCAACCCTCCCCTCCACATCCACTATACCTATCCCCGCTCCTTCTCCTCCTCTCCCCACTCCTCTCTCTCCTTCTTTCACACGCTCAGCCAATGGTGAGTCGTCAACGCAAAGCAGTGGAGTGACCGCCTGGAAGAGAGGTCGAGAGGGGTTCAGAGCCATTAAGACGCCAGTGAGAGGGGTCGAGAGGGGTTGAGAGACATTGAGATGGGAGTGAGAGATGTCGAGGGGGGTTCAGAGCCATTGAGAGGGGGAAAACAAAGACTGGCAGACCACGGACTTGCTTCAATGACTCAAACAATGCCAATCACCCGAACTTAACCTCACCTGCACCAATGCTTGCTCACCTGCCCCTCCCTCATCTCACCTGCACACTCTTGCGAACGGCTGAAGTGAGCTGAGGATGAGATTGAATCAAAGCCGTGCATGCCCGTACACATGCCATCTGAAGCCGCACCTCCTCCTCCCCTAACACGTAAGCCCCTCCTACTCCCCCTCCCCCTCCCGCTCCCCCTGTGCCCCCTTCCGCGCTACCAGCCCCCCTCACCCTCACTATAAACCTCGGCGCAGCAACACCACCTACTGCCGAACCCGAGCCCGAGCCTACACCCGAGCCTGAGGCTGCGGCTGGTACAGAGGAGCTCGTTGGTCCGGGAATAGGCGCAGTGACAGGCGACTGAAAGAATGACGTGGAAGAAGCGTATGAAGCCAAAGAGGAGGAGGTGGGTAGAGGGGAGGAGGTGGAAGAGGACGAGGAGGAGGAGGAGGATAAGGAGGGTGGTGCGAGAGGGGTTGGAGAAGGTATGGGTGGGAGGAAATGGAGGCAGCAGCTGATCAGATCGTCGCGGCTCTTGAGATTGATGGCCGTGGTTTGTGGTATGGAGGAGGTAGTGACATGGGTTGTTGAAGTTGAAAGGACCGAGGCTAAATGGGAAGATGGGTAAGCATTTGAATGGGGCGGTGGAGGGGTGGTGAGAGCTGGTAGAGGGGCAGCGAGAGCAGCAGATGCGAGAGTGAGGATGGATTGCACCACTGCTGTCTTGGCTGGGAGGGACGTTACTGCAGCCAAGGGAGCAAACACGTTCGCATCCTGCATGCAGAAGGGAAAGAGAATGAAAGAGTGGTACAGGAGTCAGTGGGAACAGACAGGGCATAAGAGGGAAGATAGCAGCAGAGGCGAGTGTGAGGATGGATTGAACCACGGCTGTCTTGGCTGGGAGGGATGTCACTGCAGCCAACGGGGCAAACACGTTTGCATCCTGCATGCAGAAGGGAAAGAGAATGAAAGAGTGGTACAGGAGTCAGTGGGAACAGACAGGGCATAAGAGGGAAGATAGCAGCAGAGGCGAGTGTGAGGATGGATTGAACCACGGCTGTCTTGGCTGGGAGGGATGTCACTGCAGCCAACGGGGCAAACACGTTTGCATCCTGCATGCAGAAGGGAAAGAGAATGAAAGAGTGGTACAGGAGTCAGTGGGAACAGACAGGGCATAAGAGGGAAGATAGCAGCAGAGGCGAGTGTGAGGATGGATTGAACCACGGCTGTCTTGGCTGGGAGGGATGTCACTGCAGCCAACGGGGCAAACACGTTTGCATCCTGCATGCAGAAGGGAAAGAGAATGAAAGAGTGGTACAGGAGTCAGTGGGAACAGACAGGGCATAAGAGGGAAGATAGCAGCAGAGGCGAGTGTGAGGATGGATTGAACCACGGCTGTCTTGGCTGGGAGGGACGTCACAGCAGCTAAGGGAGCAAACACGTTTGCATCCTGCATGGATATGGGCAAGGTGGGGAGCAAGAGCAAGAGGGAACAAACAGGGCGTTAGAGGGAAGAGAGCAGCAGAGGCGAGTGTGAGGATGGATTGCTTGCAACTTCACAAGGAAACATCAACTGTTACATCATCTCCAGCTTCTATGCGAATTCAACTGACCAGCAGTGTTCTGATTCGCGAATCCACCACGGAAGCTTCCGAGAAGGCCACCGTGTACCGGTACGTCAGCGCCAGCGCAGCGCACACGTCATCATGCATCAGCGGGTCCCGGAGGAAGTCAGCAGCTGCTGACGTGGCAGTCTCCTTCTTGAATAGGCGCTCGAGAGGCGGGAGAGCGAGCTTGGGAGCAGTGGAAGCAGAGGAGGAGGAGGTGGAAGCGGAGGAGGAGGTTTTGGGGATGAAGATGGCGGATTGAGAACCAAGGGTTTTGACAAACTGGTATATGCTGCGGGCAAGAGATGCGCGGAAAAGGAAATCAAGAAGGACAGATTGTGGGACAAGCCAACAGCCTAGCAGCTTACGAATAAAGAAAACTTGATTTGATATGATGGGAAGAACGAGGAGGGAGAACGCAAAATAAAAAACACCAACACGCAATTGCAGGATGGGATGGGAAGCAAGCAGTAGGGATCGGCACGGCACTAATTAAGGAGTGAACGCACACGCACTTGCTTTGCGAGTTAGGATCCCTGGGACCACACTAGAATTCGGACAGTAACATACCGTTGCAGATTGGAGACGGAATAGGAGTCCAGGACTTGCTCCAAGGTGGCCAGTACCACATCGAGATGCACCGCTGCCACCTGCAGGCAGGGAGAGATAGAGAGGACGTTGAGTTGACTTTTGAGTCGACTCAAAAGTCAACTTGCTCCAAGGTGACCTGACCAGTACCACATCGAGATGCACCGCTGCCACCTGGAGGCAGGGAGAGAGGACGTTGAGAGGCAAAGATGAGAAGCGAGGAGACACAGGGGGTTGAGTGCTGAAGGTTGCAGACGGAGTAGGAGTCGAGTCTAGGACTTTGCCCCAAGGTGACCTGACCAGTACCACATCGAGATGCACCGCTGCCACCTGCAGAGGGCGATAAGGTTGGGAAGAGAGGAGAGACGAAAGAAGTGGAGCAAGCAGGGAGAAGGCAAGACAGTGCTGCAGGTTGGTGACGGAATAGGATTCTAGGACTTGCTCATCACAACATCACATCCACACCCAACACCACATCCAGATGCACCGCTGTCACCTGCAGGGGGGGGGGGAGGTTGTGCACAGAGACACAGAGGGAATTGAGCCATGACAGCACCACATGCAGATGAACAGACGCCAACTGCAGCTAGTGTTGAGAGAAAGCAAACAGGAAGTTGAGAGGGCAGAGTCTTGAGAAGCCGCAGAAGCAGCCAAATAAATGCTGCAAGAAATGCGAGTAAAGTGCTAAGCCCCACTCAAGGCGCCATGCCCCCCTCACGACAGACTTAACATACAGGGGACCAATGACAGCAAAGATGAGACTCACAGGCTGTGAGTCACAGCACTAAGCCCAATGGAAAGTGCTTTTACAGTCGTGAGGGAATGTCCAAGGGTAGGGGGGAGTCAATGTGAGGGGCAATTAATCAAGACCCTACCATGCAAAGGGAATCAAGACCCTACCATGCAAAGGGAATCAAGACCCTACCATGCAAAGGGAATCAAGACCCTACCATGCAAAGGGAATCAAGACCCTACCATGCAAAGGGAATCAAGACCCTACCAAGTAAGAGCAAAGGAGGGACTCACAGTGCCGAGCCCCATGGCAAGAGCGTGCCGGTCGAGGGGGTCAGAGAGGGCGGCCGAGTCAAGCATGAGCCCAGGTAGGGTGGACTGAGGGCCGGTCAAGTCACTAACACGCAAAAGGGACTGAGACGAGAGGAACAGAAAGACTCACAGTGCCGAGCCCCATGGCAAGAGCATGCCGGTCGCGGGGGTCAGAGAGGGCGGCCGAGTCAAACATGAGAGCCACCCGGCGTTGAATGAAAACGGCGTCTGCCGCCCGCTGGAGAAGCGCCCCCATGCACCTGATGTGAGAGAAGGCAGACGGAGTGAGGATAGGGTAATGGAGAGGAAGAGAGGATTCGTTAATGGTGTACTGTGGTTAATGGATAGGGTTATTACTGTGAAGGAGAGAACGGTTGCACCTACAAACTCGTGTATTGTGTCAACCCCAAATCCCCGTGTTGGCTTGTGTTGCGTCCATGCATGCACGGCCACGATGAGTGGAAGGCAGCAAGCCGTCACACTCCCATCCCAGCACGCACAACCCCTCGCACGCACGCACATACGTGCGCATGCATGCATGCTTGTATGCCCATTCCGAGTAAATTTGGAGGAAGCACACCTGTGCAGCAGGATGTGTTGACTTGCATCCATGCACGGCCACAAGTAGAAGGCAGCAAAGCCATCACACACCTACCCAATCCAACACAATGCGCTACGCACACACACACATGCCATGGAAAGCAGCAGTAACCCACCCACCTGTGCAGCAGGATGTGTTGACTTGCATCCATGCACGGCCACAAGTAGAAGGCAGCGAAGCCGTCACACACCCGCGCGGTCCAGTCGGCATGGTTCACCGTGTCGATTGCTCTCTTGAGCATCTGTGGACAGAGATTGAGAGAAATTTGAGAGACATTGAGAGAAGTAGACTTGCATCCATGCACGGCCACAAGTAGAAGGCAGCGAAGCCGTCACACACCCGCGCGGTCCAGTCAGCATGGTTCACCGCGTCGATTGCCCTCTTCAACTGCTCTCTTGAGCATCTGCCAAATGACAAATGAGAGAAATTCTTAGAGAATTAGACATGATTCATTGTGCATAGCCACAGTCGCAAAGCTGTCACACACACACACACACACACACACACACACACACACACACACACACACACACACACACACACACACACGTGCTGCACACAGGAAAATGTTTGGCTGCGTGGGAGGCCATTAAAGTATCAGGTCGAGGGAGCATTGGCACAGAGACTGCTGCACACTCCAAATCAGGAGGATGTCACATGCTCATGACTCAAGGGACAAACTAGACAACAGCTTCTGTGCTCCAGCTAGAGGCCGTTTGTGTTTGAGAATTCTTGAGAGCGAACCCCATATAGCTGGCTGGTGAGGCCATCTGTGCTGGCTTACGAATCCTTCAATGTTTAGATTACCTTCATGGTGGCGTCCTGCCAAACAGCTCTTCTGCGCTCCACAGACTGTTTGTTCCCCAGGCGCTTACCAAAGTTATGAGGTGCCTCAAAAGTTATGAGGCGCCTCACAAGATTTAATCACCTTCATGGTGGCGTCCTGCCAAACAGCTCTTCTGCGCTCCAGAGACTGTTTGTTCCCCAGGCGCTCTGCCAAGTGCGTCATGTGCTCGATCTTTTGGGAAGGAGGGATGGAGGGAAGGAGGGAAAGTGAGAAGGAGGGAAGGGGGGAAGAGGGGGTAGAAAGGAGGAAAGGAGGGGAAGTGGTTCAATGTATTGTGCTTCAAGGGCTCTGCGATGTGCTTCACATGCTCGATCTCATGAAAAAGGGGTGGATGGGAAGTCGCGTGATATAAGTAAGTTTTTTAGACGTCTCAAAAACTGGGGAAAAAAGAAAAAAGAAAAAAGGGTGGGTGGGAAGAGAGTGACAAGAAACTTCATACGTTTGTTATTCTTCGGTTTCATCCTCAAAGAAAAAAGCCAAGTACTAATATGGTAGTTTGCCAAATAAAAGCCACGCACCCCCAGAGGAGCAACGAGCAGGGGTGCATAGCTCTTTTTTTCCGCACACATCGAGCAAGGGAAAAGACACGGATAGAACATAACGAGCAGATCAGGCAAGACCAAGTGGGCTTACGTCGAGAGCGAGCGACTCAAAGGCAGAAGGCAGAGTGCTCTGGCGAACAAACTCAAGGACCTGCGAAAGTATCAAAGCAGAACCATAAAAAGTGGAATCGAGTCGGAAGAATCAAGGAAAGTTGCTGGTTGTGTGCTATGTTTGGGCAAACAGCATTTCTCGCCAATTGGACAAGGCGCTGAGGGTTGAGACCGGTTTGCAGAAGAATTATTGGTTACAAGACAAAGTCATACTGGATGAAGGCTAAGAGGCTACATAATGAGGTGTTTAAAGGATGGAGCACGAGAAGGGCTCTTCTAAACTGATCCTCATCACTTTTGAGCCACTTCTCATTTGATTGGTTCTGATGAGATGGTGCTGGAAGGCTGGAGACTAAGAAGACGGCCGAGTGGTATGGGAGGCTTAGACTATTCATACGAGGAGGCCATACAAGGTAAGGAAGTCACCTGGAAGATTCTCATCCTCCTCGGTGAATCGGTGAGTGTTTTATCACTTCCAAGCAAAACAAGCAACCGAGGTAGAAGCTCCTGGGAAGAAGGGAGAGAAACACAGAGCAACGGACAGCAAGTCCATACTTCAAAAAAAGTGGCACCACGATGCAGACGGTAACCACCCCAAGTTTGAGCAAATCATTTTTTTTGGATTACGCACTGGATGCACCACACCACACCACACGGTCCACAACCTTAGTACTACCTCCAGGTGACCGAGGTGACTTTTGAGTCGACTCAAAGGTCCACAACCTTAGTACTACCTCCATCCAGGTGACTGCTGAGCTGACTAAGAAGTCAACTAAATCCACACCCTTAGTACCTCCAGAGGCGGCAGCTTGAACTGGGAGAGCCCTCGGATCTCCCTCTCCGCACTCTCGTCCTTTTCGGCTGCACCCACTGTACCACCACCTGCCTCCCCTCCAATACTCCCCCCCTCACTCACTCCCATAGTACCTACCTCCAGAGGCGGCAGCTTGAACTGGGAGAGCCCTCGGATCTCCCTCTCCGCACTCTCGTCCTTTTCGGCTGCACCCACTGTACCACCACCTGCCTCCCCTCCAATACTCCCCCCCTCACTCACTCCCATAGTACCTACCTCCAGAGGCGGCAGCTTGAACTGGGAGAGCCCCCGGATCTCCCTCTCAGCACTCTCGACCTTTTCGGCTGCACCCACTGTACCACCACCTGCCTCCCCTCCAATACTCCCCCCCTCACTCACTCCCATAGTACCTACCTCCAGAGGCGGCAGCTTGAACTGGGAGAGCCCCCGGATCTCCCTCTCTGCACTCTCGACCTTTTCGGCTGCACCCACTGTACCACCACCTGCCTCCCCTCCAATACTCCCCCCCTCACTCCCATAGCCACTGGTCGTCCCCTCGGCCCCGCCTGTTCCACTGGCTGACACTCCAGTCCCAGGTTCGTCCCCCGCTTCAGGGGCAGCAGAGGGTGTCTTTCGTGCGATGATTGTTGATAAGCATTGCAGGACCTGTGATCGGGAGGGGAGAGGGGTGGGGTGATTACAATCTGTCCTCGTTAGTTCCCCCACTGGCTGACACTCCAGTCCCGGCTTCTTCCCGCACTTCAGGCGCAGCGGAGGGTGTCTTTCGTGCGATGATTGTTGATAAGCATTGCAGGACCTGCGATTGGGGGGAGGGAGAGGGGTGGGGTGATTACAATCTGTCCTCGTTAGTTCCCCCACTGGCTGGCACTCCAGTCCCAGGTTCGTCCCCCGCTTCAGGGGCAGCAGAGGGTGTCTTTCGTGCGATGATTGTTGATAAGCATTGCAGGACCTGCGATTGGGGGTGGGGAGGGACAGGATGGACGTGAGTAAACAGCGGGACACAGAAGGTAAGAGACGGAATACGATTCAACATGCAATGATGAGACAGTGAAGAACAGTTGGATAGTGCTTGTTACAGAGGCAAAACGATATCCAATTAATAATAACTATGGCAGGACCAGCATTTAGAACTACCGAGTGAATTTGTGTGCTGACAAGAATAGTGTGATGCGATGATACCATAAGTGGCAGGGTGCGGTTACCAGTGGCAGAATGCGGTTACCAGTGGCAGAATGCAGTCAAGACTTGACTTCACCAGCGATCGCAGGAGAGCCAGAAGCAACACATCCTGCAGAATCAGGAGCAGGGACATACCCAGGGGATAAATCCTTTCATTCAGGCACACATAACACTACTTTTGAGATTACTCAAAATTGAATCGCACATCTGAAACAGTACAGAGGCTCTCTGAACGAAAGCTATTATACTTGAGAGGGGTGTATAAATCGGTGACTCACATCCATGGATGACTCACATGCATGGATGACTCACATCACATGCATGGGTGACTCACATGCATGGGTGACTCACATGCATGGGTGACTCACATGCATGGGTGACTCACATGCATGGGTGACTCACATGCATGGGTGACTCACATGCATGGGTGACTCACATGCATGGGTGACTCACATGCATGGGTGACTCACATGCATGGGTGACTCACATGCATGGGTGACTCACATGCATGGGTGACTCACATGCATGGGTGACTCACATGCATGGGTGACTCACATGCATGGGTGACTCACATGCATGGGTGACTCACATGCATGGGTGACTCACATGCATGGGTGACTCACATGCATGGGTGACTCACATGCATGGGGGACTCACATGCATGGGTGACTCACATGCATGGGTGACTCACATGCATGGGTGACTCACATGCATGGGTGACTCACATGCATGGGTGACTCACATGCATGGGTGACTCACATGCATGGGTGACTCACATGCATGGGTGACTCACATGCATGGGTGACTCACATGCATGGGTGACTCACATGCATGGGTGACTCACATGCATGGGTGACTCACATGCATGGGTGACTCACATGCATGGGTGACTCACATGCATGGGTGACTCACATGCATGGGTGACTCACATGCATGGGTGACTCACATGCATGGGTGACTCACATGCATGGGTGACTCACATGCATGGGTGACTCACATGCATGGGTGACTCACATGCATGGGTGACTCACATGCATGGGTGACTCACATGCATGGGTGACTCACATTCATGGGTGACTCACATGCATGGGTGACTCACATGCATGGGTGACTCACATGCATGGGTGACTCACATGCATGGGTGACTCACATTCATGGGTGACTCACATGCATGGGTGACTCACATGCATGGGTGACTCACATGCATGGGTGACTCACATGCATGGGTGACTCACATGCATGGGTGACTCACATGCATGGGTGACTCACATGCATGGGTGACTCACATGCATGGGTGACTCACATGCATGGGTGACTCACATGCATGGGTGACTCACATGCATGGGTGACTCACATGCATGGGTGACTCACATGCATGGGTGACTCACATGCATGGGTGACTCACATGCATGGGTGACTCACATTCATGGGTGACTCACATGCATGGGTGACTCACATGCATGGGTGACTCACATGCATGGGTGACTCACATGCATGGGTGACTCACATGCATGGGTGACTCACATTCATGGGTGACTCACATGCATGGGTGACTCACATGCATGGGTGACTCACATGCATGGGTGACTGCATGGGTGACTCACATCACATGCATGGGTGACTCACATGCATGGGTGACTCACATGCATGGGTGACTCACATGCATGGGTGACTCACATGCATGGGTGACTCACATGCATGGGTGACTCACATGCATGGGTGACTCACATGCATGGGTGACTCACATGCATGGGTGACTCACATGCATGGGTGACTCACATGCATGGGTGACTCACATGCATGGGTGACTCACATGCATGGGTGACTCACATGCATGGGTGACTCACATGCATGGGTGACTCACATGCATGGGTGACTCACATGCATGGGTGACTCACATGCATGGGTGACTCACATGCATGGGTGACTCACATGCATGGGTGACTCACATGCATGGGTGACTCACATGCATGGGTGACTCACATGCATGGGTGACTCACATGCATGGGTGACTCACATGCATGGGTGACTCACATGCATGGGTGACTCACATGCATGGGTGACTCACATCACATGCATGGGTGACTCACATGCATGGGTGACTCACATGCATGGGTGACTCACATGCATGGGTGACTCACATGCATGGGTGACTCACATGCATGGGTGACTCACATGCATGGGTGACTCACATGCATGGGTGACTCACATGCATGGGTGACTCACATGCATGGGTGACTCACATGCATGGGTGACTCACATGCATGGGTGACTCACATGCATGGGTGACTCACATGCATGGGTGACTCACATGCATGGGTGACTCACATTCATGGGTGACTCACATGCATGGGTGACTCACATGCATGGGTGACTCACATGCATGGGTGACTGCATGGGTGACTCACATCACATGCATGGGTGACTCACATGCATGGGTGACTCACATGCATGGGTGACTCACATGCATGGGTGACTCACATGCATGGGTGACTCACATGCATGGGTGACTCACATGCATGGGTGACTCACATGCATGCATGGGTGACTCACATGCATGGGTGACTCACATGCATGGGTGACTCACATGCATGGGTGACTCACATGCATGGGTGACTCACATGCATGGGTGACTCACATTCATGGGTGACTCACATGCATGGGTGACTCACATGCATGGGTGACTCACATGCATGGGTGACTCACATGCATGGGTGACTCACATGCATGGGTGACTCACATGCATGGGTGACTCACATGCATGGGTGACTCACATGCATGGGTGACTCACATTCATGGGTGACTCACATGCATGGGTGACTCACATGCATGGGTGACTCACATGCATGGGTGACTCACATGCATGGGTGACTCACATGCATGGGTGACTCACATTCATGGGTGACTCACATGCATGGGTGACTCACATGCATGGGTGACTCACATGCATGGGTGACTGCATGGGTGACTCACATCACATGCATGGGTGACTCACATGCATGGGTGACTCACATGCATGGGTGACTCACATGCATGGGTGACTCACATGCATGGGTGACTCACATGCATGGGTGACTCACATGCATGGGTGACTCACATGCATGCATGGGTGACTCACATGCATGGGTGACTCACATGCATGGGTGACTCACATGCATGGGTGACTCACATGCATGGGTGACTCACATGCATGGGTGACTCACATTCATGGGTGACTCACATGCATGGGTGACTCACATGCATGGGTGACTCACATGCATGGGTGACTCACATGCATGGGTGACTCACATGCATGGGTGACTCACATGCATGGGTGACTCACATGCATGGGTGACTCACATGCATGGGTGACTCACATTCATGGGTGACTCACATGCATGGGTGACTCACATGCATGGGTGACTCACATGCATGGGTGACTCACATGCATGGGTGACTCACATGCATGGGTGACTCACATTCATGGGTGACTCACATGCATGGGTGACTCACATGCATGGGTGACTCACATGCATGGGTGACTGCATGGGTGACTCACATCACATGCATGGGTGACTCACATGCATGGGTGACTCACATGCATGGGTGACTCACATGCATGGGTGACTCACATGCATGGGTGACTCACATGCATGGGTGACTCACATGCATGGGTGACTCACATGCATGGGTGACTCACATGCATGGGTGACTCACATGCATGGGTGACTCACATGCATGGGTGACTCACATGCATGGGTGACTCACATGCATGGGTGACTCACATGCATGGGTGACTCACATGCATGGGTGACTCACATGCATGGGTGACTCACATGCATGGGTGACTCACATGCATGGGTGACTCACATGCATGGGTGACTCACATGCATGGGTGACTCACATGCATGGGTGACTCACATGCATGGGTGACTCACATGCATGGGTGACTCACATGCATGGGTGACTCACATGCATGGGTGACTCACATGCATGGGTGACTCACATGCATGGGTGACATGCATGGGTGACTCACATGCATGGGTGACTCACATGCATGGGTGACTCACATGCATGGGTGACTCACATGCATGGGTGACTCACATGCATGGGTGACTCACATGCATGGGTGACTCACATGCATGGGTGACTCACATGCATGGGTGACTCACATGCATGGGTGACTCACATGCATGGGTGACTCACATGCATGGGTGACTCACATGCATGGGTGACTCACATGCATGGGTGACTCACATGCATGGGTGACTCACATGCATGGGTGACTCACATGCATGGGTGACTCACATTCATGGGTGACTCACATGCATGGGTGACTCACATGCATGGGTGACTCACATGCATGGGTGACTCACATGCATGGGTGACTCACATGCATGGGTGACTCACATTCATGGGTGACTCACATGCATGGGTGACTCACATGCATGGGTGACTCACATGCATGGGTGACTCCATGCATGGGTGACTCACATGCATGGGTGACTCACATGCATGGGTGACTCACATGCATGGGTGACTCACATGCATGGGTGACTCACATGCATGGGTGACTCACATGCATGGGTGACTCACATGCATGGGTGACTCACATGCATGGGTGACTCACATGCATGCATGGGTGACTCACATGCATGGGTGACTCACATGCATGGGTGACTCACATGCATGGGTGACTCACATGCATGGGTGACTCACATGCATGGGTGCCTCACATGCATGGGTGACTCACATGCATGGGTGACTCACATGCATGGGTGACTCACATGCATGCATGGGTGACTCACATGCATGGGTGACTCACATGCATGGGTGACTCACATGCATGGGTGACTCACATGCATGGGTGACTCACATGCATGGGTGCCTCACATGCATGGGTGACTCACATGCATGGGTGACTCACATGCATGGGTGACTCACATGCATGGGTGACTCACATGCATGGGTGACTCACATGCATGGGTGACTCACATCCATGGTATGCACTGTATTTGCAAGGATACGCAGTCCCTTGCTGCACACGCAATACACCCCAGGAGCTCTCTTCAAAGGGCCTCCAAACCAAACCACTCCTTAAGAGGGGTGTGACTCACATCCATGGTATTCGCAAGGATGCTCAGTCCCTTGCTGCACACGTGATACAGCGGATCTTCAAACGAATGCCATGATGCTACACTTTGAAAGGGGGTTTATCACTGGGTCACTCACATCCATGGTATGCACGGTATTGGCAAGGATGCTCAGTCCCTTGCTGCACACGTGATACAGCGGATCCTCCTCCCCTCCCCCTCCTGCCGCCCTCCTCCTTGCCTCCCTCGCCGCCCCGCTACCACCACTGCTGCTGGCACTAGTGCTGGTGGCGTCAGTGGCTGAAGTGAGAGAGGAGTGAGAGGAGGAGGAGGAGGGGTGAGAGGAGGAGGGGGCAGGGCGGAAGGAGCGACCGGCTTGGGAGATGAGGAAGAAGAGGAGGTGGTAGGCGGGGACTGGGTGAGCTGGCAGCAGCTGATTGGTGGCTGCCATGGCGAGGATGAGCTGAGGAGGGGGGTGGGAAACACGGGGGGGAGGAAGGGAAAGAATGTTTATGAAGTGATATGATGAGAGGGACAAGAGGTGGCGGGGACTGGGTGAGCTGGCAGCAGCTGGTTGGTTGGTGGCTGCCATGGCGAGAATGAGATGAGGGAGATGGGGAACATGCGGCAGGAAGGCAGAGAAAGGTTGACTTTTGAGTCGACTCAAAAGTCAGGAGGGAGATGGGGAGGGGAACATGGGGCAGGAAGGCAGAGAAAGGTTGGGAGCTGGGGGGGAATGGGGACAAGGAGCACGAAAGGTTGGGAACATGCGGCAGGAAGGCAGAGAAAGGTTGGGAGCTGGGGGGGAATGGGGACAAGGAGCACGAAAGGTTGGGAACATGCGGCAGGAAGGCAGAGAAAGGTTGGGAGCTGGGGGGGAATGGGGACAAGGAGCACGAAAGGTTGGGAACATGCGGCAGGAAGGCAGAGAAAGGTTGGGAGCTGGGGGGGAATGGGGACAAGGAGCACGAAAGGTTGGGAACATGCGGCAGGAAGGCAGAGAAAGGTTGGGAGCTGGGGGGGAATGGGGACAAGGAGCACGAAAGGTTGGGAACATGCGGCAGGAAGGCAGAGAAAGGTTGGGAGCTGGGGGGGAATGGGGACAAGGAGCACGATGCGAAAAGAGAGAAGGTTATCAGCAGCTGCAACACCGCACAGGCAGAGCTCCAAATGAATCACCTGAGACACTACCTGCACAATCTCCCTGCGTGTCTCGTCACACAGTGTGTTCCTGGGCACAAGCACAGCAGCGCCCAGCAGGGACGAGCGCGCACACCTCCTAATGAGCCGCCTAGACTAGAGACACACCTGAACTATCGAGTCTCATCACACGGGGTATTACGGGGCACAAGCACAGCAGCGCCCAGCAGGGACGAGCACGCAGAGCTCCTAATGAGCTATCTAGACTAGAGACACACCTGAACTATCTCCTTGCGAGTCTCATCACACGGGGTATTCCTGGGCACAAGCACAGCTGCGCCCAGCAGGGAAGCACACGCAGAGCTCCACTCCACCTCCACCGCTCCCACTGGCCGCAGCAGTACTGCCCCTATCGGCGACACCACCCCTCCTGCTGCTCCTACTGAACCTCCTGAATGCACTACACTGCTTTCTTACCTGCACAATCTCCTTGCGGGTCTCATCACACGGTGTATTCCTGGGCACAAGCACAGCTGCGCCCAGCAGGGACGAGCACGCAGAGCTCCAAATGAGGCAACCAAAACATTACCTGCACAATCTCCTTGCGAGTCTCGTCACACGGTGTGTTCCGGGGCACAAGCACAGCTGCGCCCAGCAGGGAAGCACACGCAGAGCTCCACTCCACCTCCACCTCTCCCACTGGCCGCAGCAGCACAGCCTCTATCGGTGACACCCCCCCTCCTGCTCCTGACCCTCCTCCTCCCACCGTTGATCCTCCTCCTCCTCCCCCTGCCCCTCCGCCCATCCCTCCTCCACCACTGCTCGACCCCACTGCTGCTCCTCCTGCTCCTCCTCCTGTTTCCTGCGCTCCTCTCCACTCTCCCCCTCTCGGGCTAGCAGAAACTCCTGGAGGGCTGGAGGGATCGCTAGAGGGGAGGCCTAGGGAGGGGTGGATTAGGGACGAGCGTCCCTGAACCCATCCCAGCGCAAAAATATCCTGTGCTGACGTGTCCTGCCCGCTCTCCATGGTCTCTTCTGATTGGACGATGTAGATCGCTCCCTGGCAGAACTGCTCCTCACTGCCCGCCCACACTTGCGGCATGCTGCAAACAGTGCAGTATTCTTTAGAATACTCATTCAACGGCATTCTAAATTCACACATTTTACACGTTAAAATTCTTTAGAATAATATATGTGACACGGGATACGACACAGCCTGGCACACACACACACACCTGGTCACGATGCGTCGCAGCAAAACCAGAGCCCCCTGCCTGATGCGCACATCCACCCCTCTGTGTGCTGCCCTCTGCAAGGGAAAGGCAGGAGAGACGGAAGGGAGAAACCAGAAGAACCATGGCTGGAAGAGGGACGGAGGTTGGGAGCGGGGAGGAGGCTGGAAGGGGTCCAATCACTTGTCATCAACCCCTCTGCTTGTCAGGCATGACTGCCAACGTCCGATTAAGATTTCATCGAGTGAATGTTCCTGCCTCAACCACACATCCATGATCCATACCTCTGTCTGTGCGCCCCCCTTTGTGCAGGCAGGCAATTAGAGAGGTGGCAAAGACAGGTGAAAGGCAGAAGGCACAGAAAATGCTTGCTTAAGTTTTGAACTTAGATTTTTACATTCAGGGTGCTTAATGTTCTTACTATATTGTACAACAAAGGTGGGAGGTAGAATGGCCCTTCTTGCTCACCTGGATGGCAAAGGCGCTTGCATGCTGGGGGAAAGCCTCGGTGATGGTCATGGCACACCGCATGGCTGTGTTGAGGCCCTGCCAGAGGCACGGGATCAGAGAGAAACACACGTGGGCGAATGTATGGGAGGCATTAGATGTGTCAATTGTATGGAGCAAATGCATGCGTGTTGGGGAAAGTCCTCTGTGATGGTCATGGCACACTGCATGGCTGTGTTGAGGCCCTGAGTGAGAGACATCAGATCAGAGAGACGCACACAGCTTTTGAGGCACCTCAAGAAACACACAGAATGCAGCAGGGGTGAACATTGTAAAAGTGGTGACGGAAACTAAACCCTGGATTCCAAACACCCTTGAGACGATGAAACATGGCCTTCGATGATCATTGATCGTCCTGCAAGGCAAGTTACACAGACGGGGTTTACTTGAAGCAATGGGGTTTACTCACAGTGATGGTGATGCGGATATCAGCAGCGTTGGAGCTCAGGCGGCTGGTGTAGTGGCCTATGAGGGCGAGTAGGAACTCCAGAGTGGGGAGCAGCACCTGGCATGGATGGGAACAAAAGAGGGAGTTATCGCTGGGGGTTCTTACGAGTAGCACTCAAATCAGGCTCAGGCGGCTGGTGTAGTGGCCTATGAGGGCGAGTAGGAACTCCAACGTGGGGAGCAGCACCTGGGATGGGAATTAATGAGGGGATTATCGTTTAGAGTTCTTAAGAGTCTTTCAATTCAACCACAACTGGTCGGAGGAGTGGCCTATGAGAGCGAGTAGGAACTCCAGAGTGGGGAGCAGTACCTGGGATGGATGGATGGGGATGTACGAGGTATAGTTCTGAAGAGTTCTCAGAAGTAACTCCAATCAACCTCAGTCAGCTGGTGTGGTGGCTTATCAAGGCAGGGGAGGAGGGGACTCCAACGTGGAGAGCAGCACCTGGGATGGATGGGGATGTACGAGGTATAGTCAACCTCAGTCAGCTGGCGTAGTGGCTTATCAAGGCAAGGGGGGGGCTCCAACGTAGTGTGGTGAGCAGCACCTTGAATGGATGGGGATGCACAATGCAAGGAAAAACTGGTTTCTTTTTCAGACTACTCAAAAGAAACCAAGTAACCTCAGCCAGCTGGTGTAGTGTAGTGGCCTATCAAGGTGAGTGGAAACTCCAACATGGGAGTAGAACCCGGGAGGGATGGGGATGAATGAAGCAGTCATCATTAAGAGTTCTTACGAGTAACTTAAATCAATCAACCTCTGCTGGCTGATGTAGCGGCCTATCAGGGTGAGGAGGAACTCCAAAGTGGGGGGCAGCAGCACCCAGATCATTGGGATGTGCTGTCAGTAGCAGACAGGTGGGCTGCAGAGGTTCGCAGCACCCAGATCATTGGGATGTTCGCGAAAGTGGGGGCCAGCAGCAGCTGATTCTAGCATTTGTCAACATTCAGCAATGGCTGAACTATCCCTTACTATCCTTTGCTACCACCGTATTCACATCTTTGAGGCGCCTCAAAAAACGATCCCTTACTATCCTTAACCATCCCTCTCTACCACTGTATTCGCACCTTTGGATTGATTCCTGGCTTGGGCCGCCCAAGAATCGCAGCTGCACTAGCTGCAGTGACTTTTGAGTCGACTCAAAAGCTACCACCGTATTCGCACCTTTGGATTGATTCCTGGTTTGGGCCGCCCAAGAATCGCAGCAGCACTGGCAGCAGCAGCAGCATTGGCAGCAGCAGCAGCACTGGCCACGCTTGCACCAACTTCGCTTGTTGGCCCAGATAAAGCCTGGTCTTCCCCAGATAGCCCCTGCTCAGGACCCCCACTGCCACTGCCACTCTTGCTGCTGCTGTCACCGTTGCTGCTGGCGATTTGTGCCTCGGAAGGCCCGTCTGGGTCGGGGCTACCGCCCAGGAGCGCTCTTAAGAGGGTACTGAGGCTGTCTGTAACGTGTACATGCTGATACTCCTCTGGCTCCTTGCCATACCTGATGAAAGGGAGGAAGGGAGCATTTATCAGTTCAGTCAGGAGACTGTGTCTGGTCCTCAGCTGCAGCTGCTCGTAAGAGGGTACTGAGGCTGTCTGTAACGTGTACGTGCTGATACTCCTCTGTCTCCTTGCCATATCTGAGATCAGGGAAGAAGGGAGAATTTCTTTGTTCAGTCAGGAGTCTGTGCCTGGATCTGGGCCGCCGGCCAGGAGCGCTTTTAAAAGGGTACCGAGGCTGTCTGTAACATGTACGTGCTGATACTCCTCTGGCTCCTTGCCATACCTGAAGAACAGTAGGGACGGAGGTAGTAAAATGCATGAAGGCAGAGTTTTGAACTACAAAACTCATAACCACACGTACACAGTAGAGCATGACACACACTCACAGGGAGCGAAGGGCGGGCAGCAGCGCGCTGAGCGTGGATCGCAGGTAGCTCTCCTGCAGCAGAAACGCCATCTCCGCCATGGCCTTGGCTGTGGATAGCCGGGCCTGGTGGGGGCAGGCAGCAGGCGATGGGGCATTAGAATGCTGTTGACCAACACATGGCACATGGCACAACGCACAATTGAAACAGGTGGAATGCAGATTGAAACGGAACACTGGGAAAGCTGTGGGGATTTGGGCTTACCGGTGAGGAGGAAGAGAGGAGCCAGCGCTGCAGAAAAAGGTCGAATGCCGATTGGAGGAGGGCACTGGGAGGGACAGACAGGGCGATGCAGAGGAATGGAAGGCAGACGAAGTAAGGAAACACATGGAATGTGATGCAATTTAGAGTGTGATTTGGGTGTGATGGAGAAAACAGCATCAGCACACTCCGAATCGCAGCTAGAAAACGCATCCAAACAGGAGAACCCATAACACCAGCTGCTGCTCAAACTCACACAGCCTTGAGTATTGAGACATCTCAGGAAGACTCACACAGACTCCTCCCAATCTTCAGCCGTCCATGGGATATTCCTCAGCTCATCCAACGGTGCCCCGCCCTCCAGATTCCCCTCCCCTCTCGCCTCCCTGCTTCTTCTCTCCTGCAGCGCCAGCACCACAGCCATGCCTTGCCCGTGAGTGAATGCTCTGCACCAGTGGGCGATTGCTGGGGTGGCAAGTTGATGACAGGGGTGTGTGGGGGGGGATGAATTGGAGGGGAATAGATCAGACCGTGCCATGCCTTGCCCATGAGTGAATGCCCGGCACCAGTGGGCGATTGCTGGGTGGTGGTAGGTTAGTGACATGGGGGCGGGGAGGGGAAAAGGAGGGGGAACGTATCAAGCCTTGCCGTGCTCTAGAGGTGGGTGATTGCCCAGGCGGCGCTAGCACCACGGCCATGCCTTGCCCGTGGGTGAATGCCCTGCACCAGTGGGCGATCGCTGGGGTGGTAGGTGCGCAAGGTGGGGGGAGTGGGGAGGGGAAATAGGGGGGATAGGGAGAATCAAACCTTGACACGCTCTTGAGGTAGGTGATTGCCTGGCACCAGTGGCCGATTGCTGGCATGGCAGGTGAGTGACATGGGGTTGGGGAGGGGAGAGAAGGGAGTACGTGCGTGGTGGTTGGTGAATGGAAACATAGCTCCTTCACGACGTGGGGGTTGATACATGGATTGGGGATAGAAACATGGGCTGCGGTTGATATGATACATGGTATGGGAGCCAAAACTTGAAAGTTAAAACTCAGAAGGGAATTGATGTATGCAAGTTCACGTCACTCTCACCATCAGCGAAAGACGTGCTTGGTGGTCACCGTGACACTTAGCATCTGCACGCACAAGTTTCAAGACCTCAAAAAAGTACCTGGGCTGCTGGCAGCATCAATTCACTCTCACCATCAGCAAAGACGTACTTGGTGGTCTCAGTGACAGTCAGCAGCTGCGGAACGATCTTCCTCAGCACATTTGGCCACACGGCTCGGAACACAGCAGCTGGAAGAATGTCGGATGGAGGGGTGGAGTGGAAGTTCCAAGGAGAGAGGTGAAGCTAGAGCTTTGTTTCGTTTTGTGAGCAGCTGTGGGACGGTCATCCTCAGAGTATATTTCTGAGGCGACTAAAAAAGGGGCCACACAGCGCGGAACACAGCAGCTGGATGTGAGGAAAGGAGCGGAAATGGGGAGTGGGAGAGGATATGGGCTGGGTGGGTTGAGAAAACGAATGCAGGGGAATGGGGATGTGCAATGGGGTAGTGACGGAAGGGACAAAGGAAGTGAGTGAAATGGTACAGCTTGGGTGTGTCAAACGTTTAGATCCCAACAGATAAGGAAAACGAAGAAGAAGAAAATAAAGACTCACATCTATTCTTTGCCATCTGCCCAAAGGCGCCGGCAATGAGATGCAGTGGTGGCTGTGGCACACAGAACACCTCGTCCAGGGCCTGCACACGTGGCAGGCAGACATGGATACACGTGGCAGGCAGAGATGGAGACACGTGGAAAATCAGGCACACTCCTTGACGGCGCTCGAATGCAGGTTCACCATACCAGGTCTGCTTTTGAGTCGACTCAGATGCCAAATAAGAAACAGTGGATGGTGACAGAGGGAGTGAACGGTCATCAGCTGCTACAGCATGTGGTGTAGAGTAGCACGATGAACAGGGGATTACCAGTGCAGTGGACGCAGCTGCTACAGCCGTGATGACAGATGCTACAGCCATGTTCAATGGCGAGCCAATGTCCTGCATCATGCATGCAATGGGGTACGGAGAACAATGCGGAGGGGAAAAGCGTGAAGCGGAAGGTGGGATGGGGGGAGGAGGAAGGAAGGAGAACGGGAGGAGAGATAAGAGGAAAAGAGAGGCATGGAGGCATGGAGGAGAGACGCTCTGATTCGCACAAGCACATGGGATGTTTCCATGACCTGTCCAGGTTCAACGCACCTGGGCGCTGCCTGTGCCTGATCGGCCTGCCACCAGCATCTCCGCCAGAGCCAGCTTGATGCTCTGCACCAGCATGGTGTGATCCGACACTTGTCCAGGTTCAACGTACCTGAGCGCTGCCAGTTCCTGATCGCCCTGCCACTTGCATCTCCGCCAGAGCAAGCTTGATGCTCTGCACCAGCATGCATGGTGTGATCCCATGTGCGTCTAGGCACAACAACGCACCTGAGCACTGCCTGTGCCTGATCTGCTTGCCACTTGCATCTCTGCCATTTCCAAATTGACGCTCTGATTTGCACCAGCACGTTAGGTAATTCCACATCTGTCCAGGTTCAACGCACCTGAGCACTGCCTGTGCCTGATCGGCCTGCCACCTGCATCTCTGCCAGTGCCAGCTTGATGCTCTGATGAGCACCACCACCAGCACGTAGTATAGACAACTCCACACGTGTGTCCACGTTCAACGTACCTGGGCGCTGCCAGTGCCTGATCGGCCTGCCACCTGCATCTCCGCCAGAGCCAGCTTGATGCTCTGCACCAGCATGGTGTGATCCGACACCCCTCCCCCCCCATCTGAACCCATCCCCACTCCTGCACCTTCCGCTGGCATCCCTCCCGCTGCTACCATCCCCCATGCTGCTCCTGCTGCTGAGAATCCTCCTGCACCCGCTGCTGTAGCAGCAGCAGCAGCGGAGTGTTGCTGGCGAGTGAGGGAGGTGATGGAAGCAGCGATGACGGAGAAGAGGTTGGTCTTGTGGTGCTGGGGCAGCTGAGGCACCGACCACCACAGGCTGGTGCTCTGAGGGTGGACGGGTGGGGAATGGGAGGGCCGGAGGCAGATATAAGCACGTTGATGGCGGCAGCAATGACAGAGAAGAGGTTGGTCTTGTGGTGCTGGGGCAGCTGAGGCACCGACCACCACAGGCTCGTGCTCTGAGGGGGGAAATGGGGGGGTGTGCAGGCACGCGAATTGGAAGTTGGCCAGAAAGCACAGAGGAGGCGGATTCAAGTGTGCTGATGTGGCTGCGATGACAGAGAAGAGGTTGGTCTTGTGGTGCTGGGCCAGCAGAGGCACTGACCACCACAGGCTGGTGCTCTGAGAGTGGAGAGTGGTTGGGGGTAGGGAGGTGGTTGTAGTAAGGAGGGGTCTGGGGGCCCATCAGGCCATCCTGGGGGCAAGGAGCGGGATGGCCCGATGGGTCCAAGGAAGGGGATGTGCGGCACAAGGTTGGGCAATGGCCAAAGGAAAGGCACCGGATGCAAGGAGGCGTCTAAGGATAGACAGCCAGCCGCACGGTGTGCATACTATAAGCGCGCTGTGAAATGTGCACACGTGATGCACTCTCAAGGCAGATGAGAACATGGCAATTGGCCTGGCTGGTATGCTTGCTATGGCCCAGATTCTGCAGTTTACCTGACCGGATTGGAGAAGCTCGGAACAGAAGAGCAAAACGAGCTTGGGGTTACTGCAAGCAAATAGGGCACATGTCAGGCACAGATAAAAGAACACATTCATGCCTGGAAACAGTGCATACATGCATTTAGGGAACAACATAAAGCATCCTGGAGACAGAATTTATGCAATCTGAAAATAGCCTGGAAATACTAGGAAGGTGTGAGTGTTTCGATCCAGGATGACTTAGGAAAGACTCTCCAACGCACACTCACACTGCAGCGATGGACTTGAGTGCATCCACGGCTGTATATTGAATGTACTAGGACGGCTGAGTGTCTGGATGAGCCAGGAGCGCATCCATGGCTGTACATTATATCCAAACCAGCTTACACGGCAGCGATGGACTTGAGTGCATCCACGGCTGCCTGCTGAACCTCCGGCGATCCATCTGGTGTATTCTGAGTCGACTCAAACCACGTCAGAAACAGCCAGGGCGAGGAATACCCCAACGCAAACTCACACTGCGGCGATGGACTTGAGTGCATCCACGGCTGCCTGCTGAACCTCTGGCGATCCATCCGCCAGCGAGGACGTGAGGTCCGACAACTCCGTGTCTGTGGAATCACAAAAATGGTTTGGGAAATCGCATGGGAAGGGGGACCCAGATTCATGACCCGAGGCGAGCATGTCGAGAGGTCCGACAACTCCGTGTCTGTTAAATTCCGGTAACAGTTTCGGCGATCATATGGGAAGGGAGAGAGGGGGGGAGCGTTGAGTCATGACGGAGGTACAACAGGACGTCGTGTCGGCCGGATTCGAATCGTGGTTTCGGAGATTATACGGGAAGGGAAGCAGGAAGGATAGAGTCATGTCCAGAGTCCAATTGAACGTTAGGTACGAAGTATCCGTGTCTGCCAGGTCACAAGTATTCGCTGGTCTACACGGGAAACACAGATTCGTGGTTGAAATGGCCCATAGAATGCAAAATTTCGACATCTCCGTGTCAGGCTGTCGAGGATTGGTAAGAAAACCCGAAGGTTGAAGCGACCGAACGAACGCATCACGTAAAGGCACCAAATTAGCAGCGCCTGGCGTCGGTCAGGAACACGATCCTCGACGGATTGCTGACGATTGATTGGATAGATATCCCAAGGCAATGAATGATCCACTGAGGGAGGTGACGCGATCGTACATGTCGTCAGCGACGCCTTCATCGTCGCTGGCGACTATTGCGACACGATCCTGGCGACGCGTCTGAATCTGTGGTTTGACTCAGCAGGTTGCGAGGATTCCTTTCGCCTATCGCTGCGCTTGTCGCTCAAAGCTGTTCGTGTCCGGCAAAGTGGTCGGAGATTCTATCCGAATCGCGAAGAAAACAACCCGAATTCCGGTGCGAGTGGCCTTAACTAGATTGGCGTTACGCGAATCTAAACCGGTTGCGCTCCTAAGCTCTATCCAACTAACATACAACCGAAAAAAACAACTAACTTCATGCTGAGCAGGAGCGCAAGAGCTTGTCCGCCATGGATTTCATCTGGTGTCAGAAACAGTGAACAGAATTTCAAACGCTGTAGCGTTTTTGTGAGTGCTTGAAGCGGGGGTTCAAATTCCAGAATCGCGGGAATCGCTTACGCCGCACTGCTTATTGCGGATCATGCAAAACATGATTGATGTCTACAGTGCAAGATGTTAACAACATTAAATGCAAAGCTTGCCTCTTGGCACGTGGCAGCAGCTCAGCCAACCCGTCGCTTGTGGAATCTGAACACGCGGACGCGTGTGATTTCCTCCACGTCATTCAACTCGTTTGAAGAACACGAGATACATTTTCCCCCTTTGCAGGCACAATGTCTAGGAAGGTTATGTGGAATCCCAAGAGAGCTAACAGATTGCTGCCACTGATGAGTTCGGCATTTTCAAGGTCTGCTTGTTCAGTTTCTAGCCATCTGGAGCCATTCCAGATTCCAGTTTCTACGTTGCCGTAACAGCTGTTTTTGCCATTGCTAACGGAGCCGCGTGCGCAATCTAGTGGCTGCTAAGACTCCGTCGTTACCGAACATGGAAACCCTCACTGCCTCGTCTTTGTCGTTTTCCCTGAAACCGAGCCAAGCCGCGGCAGTCGGCTCTAAAAGCATTTCAGTAAGTTCAACGTCAAGCAGTGTCCACGAATAAGCCGCGTAGAGACTGCATTTCTTGATGTTCCTGTGATTATATTTGGAATCGAAACTATGTATCGTCAGCGGCGTTATGTGAACTCTATTGCGAGTAATATAAAACTTTCGGCACAATCGACCAATATCATTCTCCGCACGGCATGCAGTAATGTTACCACACATCTGCCCCCACTTCCAGGGTCAGCGTGTCCCGTTACCTTCCGCCACGTCACTCAAGTCGCATTCCACATCGCAACCGCTGCGAATTCGCGCGACCGCTGCGCCAAACAGCAGCGCTCCGGTGGCAGCAGCGGCGGAGGTGCCGCGGGTGAAGCTGGGAAAGACGGACGTGGAGGTTCCGATCATCGGCGTGGGTGCGTGGGCGTGGGGCGACAAGTTCTTCTGGAACGACGGCGAGTGGAACGGTGAGTGGGGTGCTGTAGCAACCCTGTCAGTGTCACTATTAAGACCTGCGTCAGCAATCCGCCTGGGACCCGTCAGGTGACAGTGACTTGTCAGGTGACCCGTCAGGCAGCTGTGACGAGTTTCTGTCAAGACGCAATCTGACTCACTGTGCTCTTTTCTTGCCTGGGCTGCTCTCTGGGTGCCTTTTCTGTCGATGTTCCATCCCACGTGAATCCTCTTTCCAATGTCAGACCGCAATGTGCGCGATGCTAAGCAGGCGTATGACGCGGTTCTCTTGATTGATTCCCCTAAAAAATAAGCGCGCTCTCTTTATTCGATCCCACCTCATTTCCCTTCCCACTGTCAGACCGCAATGTCAGAGATGCGAAGCAGGCGTTTGACGCGGCAATGGACTCTGGGCTGAATTTCATCGATACTGCGGAGGTCTACGGCACCAAACAGGTGCCACCCTCTTTCCAAGCACGTCCACGTTTCATTTCTTTCGAGTTGACTCCAACCACACCCAAGAGGTGCACCCTTCTCTAGAAACATGTGCTCCCGCTTTACTTTTTGAAAAAAAAAACTTGAAAATCTCCTTTTCCTGTCTCCGCGTTTCTGGTTTAGTCCTCCTTACGTGTGCAATGTATGCTATTTGTCAATATTTACCCACGTGTCTTCTTTCTTTGGTGTCCCTGCAGTTCGGAGCAGACGACTCAGAGTCACTGCTCGGCAGGTACTGCTCTTCCCACCTGCTCCCTTCGCTTCCAGTCCCCCCTTTCCTTCCCCTTTCCTCTCGCATTGTTTGACTCAAACCCAACCTGCTACGCAGACCAGCCCTATTTCCACATTCAACCCCTGACCTACGACTTTCCATTTACTTCCCTTTCCCTACAACATTCGCCCCTACATACCCCCTGCCCCCCCCCCATGCCCCCCCTATCCTTCCTCGCCACCTCAAAAGGTTCATAAAGGAACGAGCCAGCAAGGGTCAGGCAGGGGACCTCGCTCCCATAGTGGCGACAAAGTTTGCCGCCCTGCCATGGCGCTTTGGGCGGGAGTCTGTGGTGGGGGCTGTGAAGGAGTCTCTGAGACGCCTGCAGCTTGACTGCGTTGACCTGTACCAGCTGCACTGGTGAGTTGACTGCGTTGACCTGTACCAGCTGCACTGGTGAGTTGACTGCGTTGACCTGTACCAGCTGCACTGGTGAGTTACATCTGTACCAGCATTGCATTCGCGAATTCACAGCACGATCAGTCCACCCAAAGACCTATCCTTCTGTATTGTCATCTCCCCTACCTTCCCGTCCCCTTAGTTTTTTCCGGCTCACCTCCGGTGCTTTATCTTCTTGCAGGCCCGGAGTGTGGGGCGATGAGGGGTACATCGAGGGTTTGGCGGACTGCGTGGAGGAGAGCAGGTTGCTGACACCCGACCATGCGCGCTCAAACGCCCCCTCATGCACCTCTCCTGTTCGTCCTGCATGCCTACTTCTTGCAGGCCTGGAGTGTGGGGCAACGAGGGGTACATTGACGGCTTGGCGGACTGTGTGGAGCAAGGGCTGGTCAAGGCAGTGGGGGTGTCCAACTACAAGTGTAAGCACACAGCACAGTCCCACTCATAATACTCTTGTTCCAGTCGATCAACTGCAGCAGACGCACCAGTAGCTGGCCTAGTTGTTGTCTCACGATTTTCCTTTATTGATCTCTGCTTTCAAATCCCCTTCCTACCACCCTCACTTTCGCCCCACCACTTCTTCTGCTTTTTCCAGTGGATCGGCTGCAGCAGGCGCACCAGCAGCTTCCCTAGTTGTTGTCTTCCCTTCATTGCACTCTGCTACCAAATTTCATTCACCCCTCCTCCCTTGCACCCCACCTTGTCTTCCGCTTTCTCCAGTGGATCGACTTCAGCAGGCGCACCAGCAGCTGGCCAAGCGAGGAGTGCCTCTTGCCTCCAACCAGGTGAACTCCCCATCCTCGTTATAAGCCTGTGTGTCATCGCGGTAACCGTTTGTGTCCTTGTTAGTAACGTTTCGTCCTTACCACAGCGCTTCCCATCGGTGAGAGCTATTGCATTTCCTCCTCCTCTTTTGCTAAACGATCTGGGAATGTCATACTCTTTTATGAGTTTCCTGCTGCTCCTTGGCAAGCACGCATTCCCTACCCCTTCCAACTGTCAATGCATCATCTTGGCCTCACCATGCCCTCGGACCAACTGTCCAACAACTTTACCGAGTTCCTGAGAGCAACGGAGTGAAGCAGGCGAGTGGATATTGACACGATTCAAAGCTCAGCACCACCACACACACCCTATGGCCTTCCTCTGCCCGCCCATCAGGTGCACTACAACATCCTTTACCGGGTACCTGAGAGCAACGGCGTGAAGCAAGCGTGTGAGGACCTGGGCGTCACGATCATCGCCTACAGCCCTCTCTCCCAAGGTGTGTGTGTTTATCTGTCTGCTTGTCTATCTGTTAAAGAGCGCGTGTTGCTAGTGAGGGGTAAGCAGGCGTGTGGGGACCTGGGCGTCACGCTCATCGCCTACAGCCCTCTCTCCCAAGGTACGTCTGTCGTGGAACCCACTCAAACGCCGTCTCACAACATGCGAGTACAAGTGAGCCGTTTCAGCCTTAACTTACCCGGTCTTTTCCATTCTATTTCCTCACTGCATGCATCTGCTCTTCATCGACCTCTTACCCAGTTTTCACGAAACCTTGCATTGCAATGAAATTACATGATTCTCTCTCCATGATACTCACGCAAGTCATTGCCCCCATTGCATTGCACCCTGCCATCCCCACCAATCACCTCTCGCCAGGTGTGCTCAGTGGCAAGTACTCCCCCCAGAAGCCCCCCACGGGGCCGCGTGCCAACTCCTACTCGCCAGACTTCATTCGCAAGGTACTGCCACTTTGTGCAAATTTCTCAGCATTGGCAGATGTATCTCAGAACCTCGCGAAGTATTGCCACTTAGCATTGGCAGAGGTTTCTCAGTCGCCTTGCTGCCATTGAACCTGCTCTAGGCAACGCGATACTGTTGCACGACTTCATTCACAGCCAAGTGCATAGGGAGTCGGGACGCTCCACCCCTGTATGAAAGGTTTCTCTTCGGCCCTAACAGTTGCCAGCTGGTCC